ACTGATGATCTATAATCCGGAAAAATTGATAATCCGGAATCGCCGAAGTCTCGACGGTCCGGATTAAAGACTTTTGACTGTATTAAACAAATGAACAGAAATGCATATACTTTTCAGATGTACCCCTTATACTTAAAACATATGAGCTGTTTTTCTCTCCTGTATAAATACAGTAGAACTTCTATTAACCAAGGCCTCCTTTTACCTGAGCTGGGAATTAATTTAAAGTAGTAATTGAAAAAAAAAAAAAATGTGATAATGTTAGAAAGAGTAAATCAAAAATCAACAAAATTCGTGAATTTTCATCTTTTTTTTTTTTTTTTTCCCCCCCAATGCTAACAAAAAGGCTAAAGATGGAATAAAATTTCACAGAGCTGATAATAGAATGCAAGGCTGCCAGAAGCTCTAAATCTGCAACATTCAAATCCTCAGCTTAAATACTCTATAATTAATTTGCATTCTGGTAAAGACTATGGAAAGAAGAAGTTATAGTAAAGTTTCAAATCATAATAAATGACTAATTAACAAAATCTCACAAGGTCATTTAATAGCCTTCCTGTATTACTGGCAATTAATTCATAGATATCTTTCAAAGGATAAAGGGAATAATGTTTTAGATTGGATAACTGTAGATAATAGACTTAGATTTTCAGGTTTTGCATGATGAATAAATTATTTGTGGCACATTCAGAGAATAATAAAAAGTGCATCGATGCTTTGGATTTTGACAAGATAAAAAACATGAAAATTAGCTTTGCATATCTTGGATTTGGTTTATTTTGATTATCATGAAGAACATGAGTGTTCTATATTCAAGGAAGGGAGATTCCTTCGTGAAAGACCTTTTTAAAGGAAAAAAGATCATATAATACATGGGAGAAAACCAAGAAAATTTCCATGCAATCAGCCTGTTTGGTGGGATCTGAAAATGGTCAATCTACCAATATTCAGCAGTTTTACTGCCAACCGACTAACAGGCTAATTAACACCTTGAGCAAAGCTTTTTAATATTTAATGCAATGCCCTGATATTTATTATACAGATATTTTGTTGATCAGAAACTGACAATGTACAGTAACTATAGGACGGTAGTTATATAACTATTATAAAGTTAATGAACTTTTCCATTTCACAGTTTTCATTTGATTAAATTTTTCATGAATATTTTTTCACAAAATAAAATTTTATATTAATTATTGAGTGAAGGAAACAAATTTTATCTTGTAATAATTAACTACCATAGACAATTTTTGGTGACCTTTTTACGAGTCATAAATGCTCACCAAAATTCAAAATTGGAAAAAAAAAAAAAAAAAAAAAAAGCATAAAGAGCAAGATTTGCTTTGACAAATACTTCATTATTTTTACCACAAATATGTTTTTTATCTAACAATTTTAACAACAGAATTTTAAATTTAATAAAAATTAATTCTATTTAAAAATATATATCATACAATAATTTTATTAATTTCTGAACTGAAGCTTCCAAGGAAGGCATTTCCGAATACTGTTGCCAACAGCGGCGATTCTGTTGACTAGATCCATATCAGTTTCATTGAAGCACTCATAGATATGGTCCTACAAGAAAAGTCCAAACATGATGATGGTGTTTGGATCCGGTGATCTTAGCAGCCAAGCTATGGGACTACCTCGACTAATCCATCTCCCTGGGAACTTTGCATCTGAAGTGTTCCTCACATCTAAGGCTGAAGTATGCAGGCACATCATTGTGCTGGAACAACATTCTTAACCTGATGGGTTACCTTCAGGGAACACCTCTCGTAGGAATGTGCAATACAATTCACTGTCTAGAAAGTGTGATAGGAAGCATGGACCAACCAATTGGTCATCGAAGATCCCTTGCCCGAACAATTATGGCAAACTACTGCTAGAATGAATAAGGATGTGTAGCATGTGGGTTTGTAGATACCCATGCGTGTGATTAGTGGGTATTAAAAACACCCTTATGGATAAAAGTGCACTCGTCTGTAAACAGAACACGTCCACTGAAATTTAGCTGCTCGGCATTCTGATGGAGGTGCCAACATGCAAAATGGACACATAGCTGATAGCCCACTGGTAACCATGCTTGCACATTCTATGTACAATAGGGGCGCATTCCTTCCTCCTGTAGCACATGGCAAACTGTCATTTGGGACACGTTTACAACATGGGAAACCACTTGCATGCTATCTCCCCACTGATCTTTCACCTTATGCAGAATTTCTCTTCAAGTTACAGTGTCCTGATGCACCTTTCACGCTCTCTATCTTGCTTGGCTACAGTGAAGGATCAGATTTCACACAGCTGCCAGTGCGCCTCATCGGAAACCGGTCGTGGTAAAGTCTCTGTGCCTCATTCGCATTCCCATCTGCTGCACCGTAAACAAAGTTCATATCAGTCATTTCTTGCCTCATAAAACCAGCCACCCTCTCAGCAATCCAGAGTAGAAAATGCTACTGAGTGTAAGTATTGAACCTTTTATATCATTGACAATGCCACATAGAGGCTCTTCCTTTGCTCTCCGACCATACATTCTATGACAATTATTGCTCATATAGCTGCCTTCTATCATCCCCTAAAGCTCTGCCCACTTGCTCAATTCACCCTGTATGTCTTTCATTGATATTTTAATTTTTTATTAATCTACACAGATGTGCCAAAACAATATTACCATCCCCACATTTTTTAAAGAAAGCATTTTCATGGCATGGAAGGCACATGATTGTGTGGGAATGGTATTTAACTGCTGCTGGAGAAGGTAAGGAATCATTCTTGATAGAAGACAGACTGTAATGGGCTGAAGACTCAGAATGAGTATCTCCGAAACTGCATGACTGGTACATTGTTCATGATCTGCCATTGTTAGTATTTCTGCAAAATGGATAAATAATGGTAACCAGCAGTAGACACCAAGATGTTGGACGTCCTTACATCATCAAAGAAAAAGGATGCTGGGGACTGTCTTGCATGGTACAGCAAAATCAGCACCAGACAGAGGCTTAGCTGACACACCAATACAATGCAGGTCCAAGTGCAAGTGTTAAGGAACACACAGTTCAGCGGACACTGTTGGATATAGAACTGTGCAGCTGATATCCCACTCATGTGCCTCTATTGTCCAAGCATCATTGTCAAGTACGCCTATAGTGGGCCTGAGAACATCGAAACTGACCATGGATAAGTGGAAGACAGCTGTCTGATCAGATGAATCACAATTTCTCATTCAACACGTTTATGATCGTGTCAGAGGGTATGCCATCTTCCAGGCAAACAGTTACTCACCCCCCCCCAAATACAGCAGGTCAAAAAAACAGGCTGCTGGTGGTGGCATTACGCTTTATGGAACATTCTCACGGGTGGCTCTGGGATCCTTGGTTATAGTAGAACAGACCATGAAAGCTGCAGACTATCTGAACATAACTGCATATTAATTCCTCCCTTATATGGCATCTGTCTTCCTGACTGGAAATGCAATCTTCCAGCAAGACAATGCCCCATATCACAACGCTGAAATCATGTGAAAGTGGTTGGAGAAGCATAATGGTGAATTTCAATTAATGTCCTGGTCACCTAACTCATTGGATTTTAACCTGATAGAGTGTATTTGGGATGTCATGAAGCAGTAGCTCACAGCTCAAACACCAACATGATGGAATATCTCGACTTTGCGTCACCACTACTTAAACATTTAGTACAACCTTTCTGCAGTCATCTACCAAGAGCTTGTGACATCCATGCAAGGAGATTTATAGCTGTTTTTGCAGACCAAAGGTCACGCAACACTTTATTGAGTAGGTGGTCATAATGTTTTGGCTCTTAAGAGTAAGTTTAATAGAAATTTAAAAATTTAGATCTTATCATTTCTGATTCCAATTCACGATTTATTTTCGCACATAACTTTATATGTGCAGAGATATTTAGAAATAAAGACTGAATCTACATCTTTTTTTAACTACTAAACATCTTGACCACCATTACTCACCAAAAAACTTTGACAGAATAACACTCGAAGATATTTATAATATAATAATTTAGAAGTCTTTCTTTTTTAAATTACCACTTAATAAATAATAAAAGTTAGACAAACATGAATAAATTGGAATTTTAAATTCAAACTACAAAAACTTTAAATATCATGAAAGGAATATTTTGAAAGTATTTATTACAAAAATATGATAAAAGGCACTGCATTATTGATAATTAATGATATGATTTATTGATCATTATGATAAAAAGGACATATCCTTGTAAAGCTCTTGTAAAATTGATAAGATCAAGTTATATGATAAATAGCCAGTTTAAGCCAAGTAAAATTTAAATAGAATTATGCACAGATAAATATAAATATTATCATAAATCATAATGAAAAAAATTTTTAACCAAAATATAAGTATCATATTATGACTCATATTAGTAGTTCTGTTAACTATGATTCTTGAACGACAAGACTAAATTAAATAGTTATATTTTTTCCTTTCATAAGATACAGAAAAAAATATCATAGTCAAAACTTTTCATTAAAATATACACTTACTTTTTACAATAGAGTAATTAAAAATATACCACTACCACTGCAATAATTATGAATACTTAGCAGTATGTGATATGAAGAAATTATCTCACTATAGTCATTAGCATTTAGAAGTACAGCTTCTGAAAAAATATATTGATGTGGCCTGAATATTTTAAAAAACTGCTATTTACATAATACTTCTGATCTATATTAGCAATTAATTACAGAAATAAAACTGTTCTGTTTATAATCAAGCAAGTAAAAGTGTTAAACTTTCACTTTTCTCCCTAAATTTATATTCAATATGAAATCTCAGTTTTGCCTCTTTGCAGAAAGAAAATGCAAATGAGCAATTAAAAGAATCCATTAAACAAAGCACATTAGATTTCAGAATGATCAAAATGTATGCATTTCAAATTTACAAACAGATTCAGAAATATATTTTAAGTGTAGTTTTTCTTACATTCAATATGAAGTTTCATACCTGATCAGAACTGTCACTGTCACCAAAAAGTGAATCTTTGGCTTTAATAGATAATGCTGCTGCTAATGGTTTCTCCGAACTAGCCTATAATAATAAAAACCATCTACTTTTCAAAAATAAACATTAAAATAAAAATATGACACTGTAAAAACTGGGTTCATGGTGCAAATTTTTATTCCATATTATATTTTTATAAAACAGTCAAGAAATTAAGGTAATGAAGAATAATAAAACATCAGAATTACACATGATAAAGGACAGAAAAAAGCATTAAATATGCTAGAGGTTTATTTTTCATGATTACAAACAAACTAAAAATTATTTTGGGTATCCCTAAGCTACCACACACACACACACACACAAAAAAAAAAAAAAAAAAAAAAAAAAACTTCAAAATATGTTTTTAAAGAGTGACTCATTTTATGTTTACTAAGGACTACTATTATTACGATCATGCAGTATTAGTTACATGTAGCTATAAAAATGCTAAATGTTTAATCTATCTAAAAGTGGTACATCAATTGCCTATATTAACACTGTAAGATACAGCTTTCTGTCAATTCGCTATCTAGGACAGCATTAAGGCACAGAGCTCAAAACTAACCATGCTGCATTTTATTTATTAGGGATGTTCCAATGAAAAGGTAAGAAATGACACTTTGAGAATAATTGAAGTCTTTATTCGCATGTAATCACTAGAGGCCTGAGCACAACTGTCAGACTGTTTCACGAGCCAAAAGATTCTTTATTCCCAGAATTCATGTGGCTGTGACAGGAGCCAGTGTCCTTCAGTTATTTGTCTGAGTTAAGTGTTTCCCTTTGAGATTTTTTTTTAGAGGACCAAACACATGAAAGTCAGAGGGCAACATGTCCAAGTGATAGGGCTGTTCCCAAACGTGTGGACACAAGTTATTGTGGAGCAAGATCACTCCCTCTCTGAGCAGTCCAGGCTGTTTGCTCTTAATAGACTTGCCCAGACTACAGAGTGTCTGAAAGTGCACACCACTGTTAATGGTTTATCTGTGCTCAAGGAATTCGATGAGTATCACATCTCCGAGAATAAAAACAATGGTGAGCATCACCTTGACAGCTGAGGACACAGCTTTGAATTTTTTACAGGCAGATGATGACACATGCTTCCATTGCATGCTCTGTAACTTTGTCTCTGGCTCAAAGTGATGCCACCAGCTCTCATCACCGCCGATGATCTGCTCCAGGAAAGTGGGGTCTTCATGATACCTGAAGAGGTGGTGCAGTGCTAGCTCCATATGGCGTTCCTTTTGTGGATCCCTGAGCTTCTACGAAACTCACAGTATGCACAACTTTCGGTAACCCAACCAATCATGCAAAATTGTCCACATAGTTCCAACACTGATTTCCACCATCATCACTGCCAACATTCGCACTGTGACACACTGATCACTTCTCACCAGGCTGCTCACCTTATCGATGAGTTCAGCCATGATTACCAAGTTCGCCTGGCTTGGTCTCGGTTCATCACTCAAAAACATCACTCCCGACCTTCACAAAAACAGGTACTCCACTTTCTCACTGAATTGTAAGACACGCAGTACCCTGCATACAGCCATCATTCGGTGATGAATATTGGCCAGTTTAAACCCTTTCCAGTCAGAAAGCTGGTTAACACCTCGCTGCTCTTCAATTGTTGAATTTTGCAGTGTGAGCACCATGATATCCTGATACACACTGCTACATCTATTGGACAGATCACACAACTGCCTACTTATCTCATATGTCATGTACGGGTGCCTGCACATCTGCACAAACACGCCAAACACTACACTCGCATCCCTAGATGTCTCACTATGTCATTCCGAAGTGGTATATTCAAATTTCAACTGGATTGGTTGTTACAACATTTCATACTTTTGCATTTGAAAACCCAATTAGATTTCTAATGTTAGAAAAATGTACTGCAAAATTTTCAGTTTTTTAGGCAATTACACTATGGCACTATTAGGGCAGCATTTATCATCCAAACAGCCTGAGTAAATGTTGTTATTACAACAAAGGTAAGATTTTTAAATTCTGTACGATATTACAAATAGCTAGTTCTAAAAAATTTTGCCAATTAATATGGCAGAAGTTCTTTATCTCTCAGTTTATGAACATCATCATTACATACCTTGGTAAAAATAATTGTTTGGTTTTTATTTATTTACTTAAATATTTCAAATAGCAGTAAGCTGTATTTTTAACTTAAAACCATAGAAAGCCCTTAAATAATATTTATTTTGTTACAATTTTAAAATACTTATTGTCTCATAAAGAATCTATGCTTAAAATGTCTGTGCATTTCGAGCAACACTCTAAACTTCAGTTATTATGTACAAAGGCATAAAGAGGAACATTTGTACATAATAGGTACATAATTTTTCAAGCTATATAAACCTATTTTAACATAACATATTTACTGACAAATTTTGGAAGCATTCCCTACATATATTTGTTCCCTCAATAAATATTCTTGTCCATGCTGTCAAATTATACTCTCTCCCTTCACACAGAGAAAAAAAAAAGAGAATGTAAAGTAACGGTATCTAAGTTATGTAGATAAATATATGAATTAATAAAATTACATTTAAAATATATATACACACAGTGTGAAAAATTTAAGCATGGATGTTACTTTTGAAGTAAACAGCTATGAAACTGGAGAAAAGACAAAGCAGCCAGGGCAGTGGAAAGTTGATTTATATGAAAACAGCAGAAACCAATAGAATATATATGATATGCATGGTCACATCTTTTAGCAGAAAATTAACAATTGAAGGTGTATGCTGAAAATATAGCATTAAAAACATTGTGGACAAAATAATGCAAGGGGAGAGCATCATAGGAAAAAGAAAGCAAAGAAAAAAAAAAAAAAAAAAACACCGTAGCTATAAAACATCATAGTAGAAAATAAAATGGTGTACAAACTTCATTGTTTTAAACCATTGTAATTTGACTATGAAAGTTTTAAGACAATTTTTCAGTGGTGATATGCAAGTATAAGAAGTAATATTTTTTATCTCTATATTTCATACTTTTGAGTTAATTAATAAATTTTTATTGAAAAAGCAAAAAAGAAAAACACTCAAAATCTAGAAACTAGTAAAAATTAATGCTATGTATAGCCACTACCAGAATTTTAAACTTATGTTGCTACCTATTAAAAATCATTATATATTTAACCTCTTTTACACACAAATTAGTAGATTTTCATGAAAAAATATAGTGTAGAAGAGACTGAAAAGAGGTAGGTACGTACGTTTAAAATTCTATTAACTGTTATATGTAACATTAATTTTTTGCTAATTTTTGGATTTTGAATGCTTAAGTTTTCATCTTTTTCAGTAAAAATATATTAGTTGACATAAAAATACGAAATTTAGAAGTAAAATTATTATTTGTTTTTTCTTACACTCACAAATCATTATGCCAAAAATTCACTTAAAATTTTTTCACTCAAAGAAATGTCTGCAAAGTTACCATGCAATGATTTGTAGGATTTTTTTTTTAAAATCTGGCATTATGTATATGATTTAAAACTGTAAAGACTTTGTGCCACTTTTACAATAATATTACAATTATATTTTCCCCTTGCTTTCTTTTCTCCCACGATGTTTTGCATGAAGACGTTTTCCTCTCATATTGTTTTCTCCATGACATTTTAATCTATGATATTTTTCACCTATAATGCAACTGAAATAAATGCCCATCATCGAATGGCACTCTTCCCTCAAAAACAATCATCTTATGTTAAACAAGGAGAGATGGTGTCAGAGAATTATAGCAATTATAAAGAGGTCATATTATTTACTACAGGACGTATGTTGCTGTTTTTCCTTTCAGGCAGACAATTCTTTCCCTTTTAAGAATCAACTATAAAAAAAGGTACAACTAAAATTTTGCATGCTTATCATCCTTTCCATAAAATACAGAAATGTCTTCATGTGATATGCATTTCATTAAGTTTAACTGATAAATAGAAATGCCCATAATTCTGTTTTTATGGTAGAGAGATTCAAAAAAACATCACTGGAAGGAGTATGCATGTGAAGATTCACTCCAAACATTTAACACATTTTTCCTGAATTTTGAGCTCATTACATTATGTTACAAAGCTATTTATCCTCCACACAACTTGGATAATATTAATAAAACATTAAGATATTTTATCTGCCTTTAAGTAGTCTGCTATTTTCAGAATGCTGCCATTCGATACAACATATGGTAATTAATTTATCATTAAAATTATAACTGCTTAACAAACTGAATAATTTAAAAACAACAAGTGCTGTTAATAAATTATAATTTTTGACATTTCATTTTTAATATCGCACCAATATAGCTTACCATTTTTTATAATATATTTCACCAATACAATTTAAATTATATTTAATTTCTGACAAACTAATATAACTGATCATTTTTATGAACATTTATAAAGTCTAGTGTAATTAATAAATCATTCTAATGCTTAATATAATGTACTCATAGAAAATATTTTTAAATAATGTATTTACTTCATATAACTTAAAATACATTTAATGAGTACCCAATTCATAATTCCAAATGATAATTATTTATAATATGGGCAACTAATAATTATGATGATTTGCAGCATTCCAGTAACAAATAAACAATTCCATTTTACTTCATTACTTATTGAAATTACTAATCTAAAAGAATTATGCTAATCTTAAAAACTTATCTAATCTATAATATAATTAACTATTTTTATGCTTAATAAAATTTTATCACCTTGTAATAGCAAAGAACAAACAATTTTTAAATTATTTAATCCATCTAAAATACGTATCTTGAAAATGTGAGGGGAAAATTATAAAAATATTTAAACAGAATTTGACATTTTCCAGAAAGTGACACTTATCAACAAATAATAACAGAAAAAAAATTACTTTGTTTGATTCCTTTACACTTTCAAATAACAAAGACTGTTTAGCTGAACCTTTTGAAGATTTGTCTCCATCTGGTACCTAAAAAATTAAAAAGGGAGGGAAAATATACAATAGTGAAGAAAATATCTTATAATTTTAGATTAGAAGATAAGATTGCCATATCTTTAGAAGTTAACAATGCAAACAATCTCCCTCCCAAAATACTTTTAATGCTAACTTTTACCTTACAAAGATAATTGAACTACACATATTAGGTTCTAAGCCTAATATTTATACAATGAAAGTGTAAACTGCAATTGAAACCATATTTAGTGAGCAACTAATATGGAACTAATATTGGAAATAAATCAATTGACTATTATTTAAATAATGCAAAGCAAGCACAAGCATTTCATCTCACTTTCAACTGAAAGGGATTGAAACTTAAAGCCTTGTACCCTTCTTCTTCTACTAACAACCTCTCAAGAGGACATCTAAATTGATCAATGATAAAAAATCAGTTCAAACATATCTCATAATAACTACATGGAATGAGAACAGAGTTAAGTTCAACTACAACAACCTTTAAGATACCAAAAGATTGGTTTGTTATATCTGATCTGATATGAGAAAAAATGGGCCATCTCACAAAACATTGTAAAAATAGACTGATCATTCACAGAAAAAAAAAAGAAAGAAAGAAAGAAAGAGTATTGGCACTGTCACGGTTTCCAAACAAAATGAGTAGTAAATTACAATTATTATTATGTGCAATTACTAAATTTCTTTTTAGTTGCTCTTCAGTTTCACAATACGCTAATGGTTATACATGATAAATTACTTAGCACAAAAGTTATGGTTTAAAATCATCCCTTCAGTTACACACCTCCATCTAAAATGCACATTTATAATTAGCAGTTGTCCAGATAATGGCAGATTGAAGCTTCTTTGAATGATGAGCCATTCCAACAATGCTTCTTCAGTGCCCTTACGTTTGGCCTTTTTTCCCTTGTATTCAATTTTTTTCCACAAATAGAAACTATCGAATCTTCATTTTTCCACTGCAAACTGTAAAAATATATGCCTGGCAGTTATCAATTTTGCTATATTTATTTTCCATTTTTACTTCCTTGTAAGAAGTAAAGGAAATACTGTAATCATGAAAAATTTCAGGCATCATACTTTAACCGTTCTTGAAACCATTTCAACAATGTTTTCATGTAACATCTATACATATGGACAGAATAAAGGACTGTTTTTGCCAAAGAGGATTGTAAAATGGATTCAGAAGAGTGTTTCCCCCTTGATTGTACGTACATATGTCAAGAACGTCTGTATGAAGGATGTCTGTACGTACTTGTTTGAAATTTGTATATGGGACTGCTGTTACATGTAGTTGTGCAGCTCCCTTTTTTGCTGCAATCAGTTGCACCAATTGTATATATATGTATATATTTCCGATCTGTTACCTGGCTCGGTGAGCTTAGTTTTTTATTTTTAAATGTTGGTATATTGTGCATTTTTTGCCCAAAATGCATGGCAGGTGCATAAATGGAAAAGTTTCTCCTTAAGTGGGACTTTATTTCACAGGAGCTCAGATAAGCCTTAAGCATAATAAATAACAAAATTAATATAATTCAGGGTTAATTTTCTGAGCACATATATAATGTAAGAGTTATTTTCAATTAGTGATAATTATTAGGGTTACTAAAAGTAATTTTTAAATATTTAATCCAAACTTACTTTTTTAAATTAAAAAAAAAAAAGGAATCAAAGACAACTGATTGAAAGATTTCAATTATTAAAAATAAATTATTCAAGTTATTAAAAATAAATTTATATAAATACAATTAAATAAATAAAAAATTCATGCAAGATATTTAATGAATTCTTTTGAAGGTTTTATTTTTGCACCCTTATAAAGCAATAAAATTCAAAATAGACATTATTAACTAATGAAAAGTATACCACACAGCAACTTGTCAATAAACTGCTATTCTATAAAAAAGAGATCTGTAATATTTTTAAGATTCATGTAATTCTTTATAAAGCAGAGATGAATTTATTAGAAATTTAATTAATTCATCATTCTATTAATCTTAATTTAAAGTACACAAATGAAATTTTTATACATTAAAAATCAATATTCTATAATTTTGAATGGCCATAGAAGGTAAAGATGATTATACTTTGAATAAAAAATTTTGGCAAATTTAATATTTTTTAATGTTTATACATTCGAAGCTCATCTAAAATATAAATTCTCATTTACAATTATAGAAAGAAAATACTGTTACTAATTTAAAAAAATAATGTACACACACATGGAGGAAGGAATCTCTACAGCAGAAATCACTATAACTTTTATACTAAAATGTTTTTTAAATTAAAGCTTCAGCCACATATAATTTATTTTTTAAAAAAATATTGTTAATATTATTTAAGTGAAACAGCACCCACATAAATAAAAAAAAAATCAATTAAGGAAGTCAATGTTACCTCTGACGTTTTAGATGACTTAGTGCTGAAGCTTCCAAATAAATCATCCTCATCTCCAACTGTGTCAAAATCAAATTTCCTGTATTTAAAAGTATAATGAAGCATTAACAACTCGAATGCTTATAAATAAGTTAAGTTCAGGAAAAAATTCACTTACATGTTCTTTTTAATGAAACACACTTTTATTTTTTAAAAACTAAACATTAAATGGTTTTATAAGCTATTTAAAATTTAAGAGCAGAAGTAATAATTTAGATACTAATTACATAATCTAAAATGTGCAAAATGGATAGAAGAAAGCATTTTTTTTTTATCAAACACACATCATTTTCAAGAATCTGATCATTATTGTTACCCAATTCAAATAATCTTCCGTAGGAATATTTTCAAGAAACAGTTTCTCATGACAAATCACAAGCATCTGAATGCTTAGCAGAAAGCATTACCAGTGTCATAGAAAAATGATTATCACACTTAAAACAAAAAATATGGAGCAATCATCAATAAATTACTGGCAAAAGAATGATAATTATTTTCAGCCCATGATGTGATGAATATAAATTCAGCATGAAACACGGTAAGTTTCCAAAAATTATCATCTTTCTGCTTGCTCAATCCAGATTATAGAAAGTTTTGGCTTTGTTTCTACATGAATCACCCTGTACAATAATTCTAAATAAAGTACTTAAAAGTCCCCAGATATCATTATAAAAAAAGGGGGCAGGAGTTGCAATACTCCTGTCCCAATCTTGCAGAATACTAAAATTACTACTGACATCAAATTACTAAAGAATTAAGATTTATAGTAGAATAAACAAAAATGATTATTGGAGAAGTTAAACAACAAAACTCAGTTTAATATATGTAATAAACAAGATAGAACATATTTTATCTGGTTCATTTGCACTTAGGCAGCTGAAGAAAATGGTTTTGCATTTAAACCACCAAAACTAGTCTTGCAAAATTTACAAATATTATTCTGATTCTTGTTGTTTAACTTCTCCAATAATCATTAATCAGTGTGTTATTTTAACCTAAACAAAAATGAGTTTTAAAAGCAAAGCAATAATCATACACCAGATAAGGAGTTTCTGTAAATACACTTACTTGTTGCTTTTATTTGAGAATAAATCATCATCATTTGATTCATCACCGAAAAACAGGTCAGAAGCCCCAGCAGGTGCAAAACCAAATGAATTACTAGAAGGTTTTACTGATATAGCAGAAGAAGGAGTTGATGAACTATCTCCTTTTTCAGATGAATCTTGACTTCCAGCCTATTGAAAAATAATAAATAACTTTTATTAAATATAATATGTCATAAGTTAATAACATATTAATTAATGCTAACAAACTTGTAGGTTTCTGTTACAACTGGACGCTAAAGTCCTGCAGACCCTACTAGACAAATAGTGAGTTTCTGCTACATCTTAACTTATGGAATACAGAAGAAGGTTAAACTATTCCCCCATTTTTTAATTTTTTTATCTAGTCTTAATGTAACAGAACAGGCGCAATTTGTGTTATAGATGAAACTTCCTCTACTGTGGATATTTAAATTAACATAACAGTAGTATCAATGTGCTGGTTCATGCCCAGGGTCTCAAACTCAGAGCTTGTATGTGGAGGCACAGTATATTGATAAGGAACAGTATTTTATGATTCTTAATTCAGTTGATAAATAAATGTTAACTTATTTGAGGGGATTCAAACCTGTAATAAAAGGAGTTTATAGAGTAGTACTATGATTGATACTTTTAGAGTGCTACCTCATGATATCTAGTAACTTATGGCAATAAAATGAGTATTTAAGATTGTTCTCATTCCACTTGGTTCGACAATTTCAAAAATTTAGAGCAGAAAAACTTATACACAGCTTTATGTAAGCTTTCCATAACTTTTTTGAGTGGCCAAAAAGTAACACTACACTAAAATATCTAAAGTGTTAAGAAAATTTAAAATTAAGGACAACAAAATAAAAATTAAGAAAAAGATAAAGAGGGGAAAAAAGTTATATAAAAATTAAACATACAAAATTCCTTTGCTGCTGATGAAGACAAATTTGTACTGTCTTAACTAAAATCTATGACAAACACAAGGTTGTGGCTTTATTAAGTTTATCATTATTTTTTATTATGTTTTACTTTAGCCTATTTCTTTCTTTTCTAATTTGAATAAGCAGGAGTGCAAAAACCATGTTTGTATGGATACATACCTCTCATAGTTTTCACTGTTTATCTATTTTCAAATTGCATCCTATAACATGCTGATTAATGAAAAATCTTTCTTTAATGCTAGGGTTTTGTAATTCTGAGAATAATTCACTGCATGCTGTTCTATAAAATGAAGGTCCCAAATTTCCCTCAATTCTTCAGAATACAAGACAAAACCACAGAAACAGTAGTTTACTTGCATTCTTCTCAACAAATGAACTAAACTGGCTTATCAAAGATTTATCAGGGTTACATAAAACTAATAAAAATATCTTATAAATATGTTGTGATGTCATATTTATCTCTTTCTGGTCTAAATAACCCTATTTGGTGGTAATAGTTTTTGTTGAAAATCCTCAACAGAAAAGTATGTGGGTACTGTTTTGACACGCCAACAGTTATATAAATTACTATTGCCAGGTAGAAGAGATAGCTTTATGAATAATGAAAATGCTTTTAATACAGCTAAGAAGACAAAGTAATCAATGTGATAGCCTCATTATTAATCACGAATTTCAATATTATTCTACTGATAAACCCAAGATAAAAAAACAACTCATAAATCAAACTGTTTTTAAACATATTTATTGATTTAGTCAATAATTGAATCAATTCTCCTTGTTTTCAATGCTAAAAGACATTGATTCTCTGAAAAGCCCTAACACACTATAAAGGCCTGTTATTTTACAACAATATGAAAACTTTATTATATTATTTTATCTTCATTACTTGAAGCTTTAACTAATATGTACTGAATAATTAAACCCAATGCAGAGTTCCTCATATTAAAGTTTTACAATATAGTATCATTTGAACATTTTAGGCTGAAATTACACCTGCTTAAAAAAATAAATGTATAAGAAACTTATAAACTTACACTAGCTTTCTTTGAAGCACCTGATTTCTTTGTTTTCATTAAAGTATTAAAAATATCATCTTCACTGTCATCATCATTATCAAATAATATATCATCTCTACTACTTTTCTTGACAGCTAAAGAAAATTAAGATAAAAATTATGCAGTTATGTTCTTCTCATAGCTATTCTAATTCATTTTGACTCATTTCGATTAATTTAATTTAATACTTTAACATAATTTGCTTCAAGTAAAAAACTAACTTAAATATAAACAAGATAATTACAAGGCACTTCCTTTGGTGCTTGAATTTCTTTAGGGCTTTTTATACTTTTTACTGCTTCTTTAGGCTTCTCATCAAAAAGATCATCACCAAATATATCCTGAAAAGTTTAAATCATTCAACAGTGAGTAAAAGTACTTATATCTTTGATAGAAAAGCAAACAATATTGACACAAAAAAAAAAAAAAAAAACCAAGGAATCCCCACTAATAAAATTTAGAAAGTTTAAAATAACATGAAATAATAGGAGACAAACCTTATTCTCATCAAATCTTGTATCCGATGCAAATAAACCTGTTTTTTTACGAAAAGGTGATTCATCGTCAGAGATGTCATCTTCGTTAGTAAAAAGATCATCACTAGCTAAATTATATATATATAAAAAAAAAAAAAAAAAAAATACAAAATTTCAAAATAAAAAAGTAAAAAACTATTATACTGAAAACAAATACTTAAAAATTGTAATTAAAAGAGCACATATTTATATTTTATAAAATGCTTATCCCCCTTCAAATTTACTGTCATTTTGTATTAAAGAAATGAATTAATGCATTTTATATGCAATAAGCGTATGCTGATATCAATAAAATAGCAATAATTTAAAAAAGTAGTTCACTACCAAAATCTAAAAGTTACTAAGTAGTAATAAATTGTAAAATAAATATTAGAATACAATTTTAAAAATCAATTCAACAAATGAAAAATATTTAGATGTGGTTCTACCAAAACAATGTAAATTGGCTGGATGCCACCACTGACTGTTATTAAACAATTTTTTTAATGATTATAACTCTGTATCTGTTTTTAATGATTAAAATCTGGGATAAATCCAGAGTTCCAAATATTGTAATAAATTCATTAATCAATTTTATTAACACAATTAATAACACTTTCAAATGCATATAGCTCTGGAAAAGCTAATATAAAAAACTATAACACCATGTCTTCATCTGCTTTTTGATTCAGTATCCTAATTTTGGTCTTCAAAATCAAATAATTTGAAGTTTATAAGTAATGAACCTACTGTACATGGAAAGAAAACTGATACAAACAATATCCTCATCAAAATGAAACTACATTTTTATTTATCCTTAAATATGATTTCTTTTGATTAGAATAAACTACTAAGCAACTTTAAGATAATTTCATACGGTAATGAAAAATAATGAATAATCATGCATTTCATAAAATTATTATGATAGCCATAAATATTTACATATTGTTCCTGTTATTTTGTAACAATAAGTCTAATTTGTTTTAAATACCTTTTTTCTTTTCCTGCAGTTTACGTACTGGTAAAACTTGTGGCAAGTTCAATTTTGACTGCAACGAAGAAATAGAGTTTGGCCTAGATACCTTTTCATTAGATTTAGATTCTACATCAGTAACTTGTGCACTTTTTTGTTCTTCTGCTCTACTTTCTAATGATGAATCAGACATTAAACCATTTTCATTTTTCTCAGAACCAAACAATTCAGACTCTTCACTGGAATCACTAATACTTTCTGCCCGCCTTGACTTATTTGGCAAAACAGAATATTTTTCATCATCCAAGGGCAATGGCTCCTCCTTTAAAAATGCAAATTAGTTTAGGTTAACATCAAAATCATAATAGGCATGGATATATTATAAAGTATGAAATATTTAGGTACTTGTGTATTTTCCCATCAACCATTTTTGAAAAACAAAACTGTTGTCACACACTGCAATTTAGCACCAACAATAGATAAGCATGACATCACAGCACACTCATATAAAGGTTCCTTTTTTTCAGTAGCAAAAGAATTCTGCAAAGAAGGCAGGAGTGACAACCATATTTACATCATAAACAACGGGCAAAGCAAACATAAATGCAGTACCATCTTTCGAGAAAAATAGCAATGAAACATGAAAAAATAAGGTATTACAATTCTAAAAGCACAAGAAAGGACTGGATTAAGACTGGAACTAAGAAAGATAAATTTTTGTAAATATGAAAATTTCAAGGAAATCAAAGGCATGATATATATATATATAAATATATATAAGGGTAAAAAGAAACCATTTTGTTTGCATAGCATTGTGACATGATTTTGCGTGAGGAAGCAAACAGGAAAAATGTTTACAGTACATAGTAGCGGTGAAATCAAATTCATTACAGAATATTAGAATATCAAGGAAAGGAAGTGAACTAGATAACTGAATCAAGCAAATTCCTGACACATAAAATCTGGGATAAATCTTCATTACCATCAAAAAGCACATATGTGTCATATACATAGAAAATCCAGAGTTAAAAAGGTAGCTTTTCAAATAATTTGATCTCAAAATAGTGCATGTATATGTCGGCAAGTAATGGATAAAGGAGATTACCCATAGCTACTCCTTCAATTTTGTAATAATAATTATACTGGAAAATGAAGTGATTTGACTCGAAGAAATTTTAGTCAGAGAAATTAATTCTTCAATTTCAGTATGTATGAAATGGAATTCTAGAAGTCTGGTTTCAAAACCTTTTAGTGCACCTCAACTGGAATATTAGAAAACAGTGATTTAACATAAAAAGAAACCATAACTGAATGTCAGAGAGAAATATCTTTAAATTTATCGACGACTTAAAAAGAATTGTTCATATTCTAAACACTATTAGAAAGTCAAAATTTAGAAAATAAATATTTGGCTAAAAGCTATGACACTGTTCTTAAGTTAAAAAGTATAATGTGAAAAGGAATTCCAGTTTTTGGAACTCGGGAAATGCATAAAACCTAGCACATTGGAGCAAAAGAAAAGATTATTTATTAACTTTTGCAAGTTCAGAAGTTAAACAATCCTTAGGGATTGAGCAGAATGGGCCTTCATTTGTTAATTTCATGACTCTATCATCATTTTGCTCATAACAATGATCTGTTCACCCTTATCAGTTTGAAAATAATAATTTTCAGATTAGAATTAATTTAATTTTCATCTGATCCTTTGAAAGATTAATCAGATGAAAGATGTTATCAATGGGATTCGTATTTACAGCGGAGGGAGGGATTAACAGAATGGTTGGGGCTAGATGACTGGTATACATGCTTTTAGAATTTTGTAGCATGAACGTTTTTATAGATTCACAAGTGGTTTCTTCTGGCTTGATACATTCATAAGACATTCACTTTGCTATTATATAAGCTTAACCCGCAACAAGCCAGTTTAGTTTTTGAAAAGAAGAAAATAAATGAACTATAATTTGGAAAAAAAAAAAAAAATTATTAAAATGTGAATTTGGCTTCTAAAGAACAGCAAGCAATAAAACATTTTCATAGTTATGAGACTGCATGAATGTTCAAAACACTAAGACCCTAGGGTCTGGCAAAATGATGCAGTAAAAAACACTATCCAACAGCGCAACAGCTTAGATTCATATCTCATTGAACTATCTCACACTGAGTTCACAAAAAAGATGAGTGTTTTGTTGCCATTTTAAATGCTATGAAAAATTCTAGGCCTACAGAATGATTGGTGCAAGTTTAAATGAAATAGTTTGCCAGGTAATCTCAAATGCTGAAGCTCCTTTTTTATTATTATTATTTTTATTTATGCTGTATCTGTAACTTGTATCTTTTTATAATTTAACTAAAAAAAGAACAATTTGTTGCCTTCAACTTTCAGAGTGACTGCACATGTTTGGTAGTATATGCACTAACTTTCAAGGTCAGTAGGAAAATACACAAGTACCATTATTTAACTTAATGTTAATATTAATTTTTTCTTTCAAAATGAAATTACTATATTTTACAATTGCGCTAAATGAAAAACATATGTATATGCCACCGAACGTAAAATTCTTACGAAAAGACTTTCCTGTGCATCATCGTAAAATGTAACAAATGGACATGTAGGGCAAACTCTTTGAGGAGACAGAAATTCATTGCTGTAAATTAGTTCATGAGATTTCATAACTTTTAAACATGCCTCATCCAGCTGTACATGATTTCATTAAGAAATGGAAATATTCAGTTACATAGAAATGGAAATTTCAATAAAATAAAAAACAAAGGCAATAGAACTGTACCAAGAGAAAGACTGATATCGAAAGTAGAAGAGTTATTTCCTTATTATTATGGCCCATGTTATTTAAGTGGCACCAAAAGCCTTTTTATTAGTAGACAGCACTAAAGCAGCAACAACCCTACTTGAAGCCCATGATGATAACAATTCTGAATATGGCAGCTGCTTTGTCACTGTTTATTAACATGAAAGTTCTTGCCATGTTTAAATAACGAAGTAATACTTTTTTTTTTTAACCTGTAAAATATTTTTTTCAAAGTGTCATCAGCTTTTTCTCCTCTTTTAGCTATTAAAATACTACTAACTTTGCAGGCAGTACAAATCAGATTATTTTTTTTTAATAATTTAGAAAAAAGCAAAAAATGAATTTTACAGAGAAAGCTACCATATATCTTAATATTTTGAAAGAATAACAGAGGGAAAATCATTTATCCTAAAAAATTAAGGTAAATAAAATTAAGTTTTACATAACTACAGTAGCATTTTTGTTTTTGCTAAAAGATAATTCACAGATACTGTTTCATAACATATAACTTGTTTAAATTTTAAAATCAAGATATTTGAAAATCATCTAAATGAAAAGTAAAGGTAGTTTAAAAGAAAATACATGGATACAAAAACATTTTAATATTATTTTTCTCAAAATTTAAATTTTTATATATTCTTGTTGTTTTAACTGATATTATAATTATGTTATTACATTTGTTAAATACATTTCACAATATTCACAAATTCCAAATCAATATTTTTGTAGACAAACTAATTTTAAAACCACCAAAATACTGATATTCAAACTTGCAATATGCATCAAAGAATTCATATTACAGAAATAGAAAAAAGTTGTTTTAGGCAAAATAAAAAGAACAAGCTTAAACAGAAACCTGAATTTTCCTTACTTTATATACAAATCTGTTGACAAATCTTCCAAACTCCCACATCTTTTAGCCATCTTGCAAAATTCTTTGCATATAAGATTTAAAAATTAGAATAGTTTTCATGAAAAATTCATGAAAGTATACAGAAATTGATTAATTAAGAGTCTTGACAGAACCTACAGTCCAAACAGAAAAATAGTATCCCCAGCCCTTGTCAACATTTAAAAAAAATTTTCTATTTGACTGCCTTTCTTCTGTAAAGGAATGTTCTAGATACTCCCAGCAGATATGAAGCAAAGACAGTCCAACTCTCTGCAATATATGGCTCTCTCCAGATTCAGATTGTTCTAATATCAGGATTTTTTTTTTTTTTTTTTTTTTTTTTTTCCCAAGAAAATCCTTACCCTTCTTAAGGGCTCTAGATATATGTCTTTTGTTCACATCCCTAAAGAATTTCTGAATTCACATATAACAGTAGACAGAAGCGAACATTTCTGAAGGTTATGTTTTTGTCACAGTCAGTCAAATCATTGTTGTGTCAAGAAAGTATTTTTTAATAAAGAAAATATTTTTGTTGATAATATCTGTTTTGAAAGATTAGGCAAACAACCAATCAGATACCCTGAAACTTTTCTTCTGAAGTGGCTGATTGTTCTTTATTTACAATGCCAATTTGTGATGAATTCATTATCAGCCACATGGAACGAACTCTACATTTATCTGAAATATTAATTCACACTATGAGTAACAGTTACAGAAAAAGGACAAAAATGTCAGCTGAGCAAAATTAAAGACCATCTGCAAATTTTGGCCAAAATTAAGGGCTTTAATAGACCAAAAATTGTTTCACAAAAATTTATGGAATTTTAAGGACCATATGAACCCTGATTTCAACATGATGAGTAATCAACTCATATTACAGATGTTGTATGTACCTGGTTTCATGAAACAGACATTCAGGAATTGGATTCGTGTGTTCAAAGCCCTAATTTTACCTCTTCACAGCACCTGGCAAATGTGAGGATACCAGTGACTTAAATCTATATAAGAAACATTCATTATTTTTTTTTTTTTTTTTTGCATAAATGACATATTACTTAAATTGAAATATTTTAAAAACTGGCATGCAGTCTTCACAAAAGGGTGACAGACTAGCGAAAAGCTGACTCATCCATTATTAACTACTATCATATGCATCTATGAAAAGCAGAGTGCTCGAATAATTTTGATAAAAAAGGAGTATCAAAAGCATATGTATCCCCAAGCAAAGTGAGGCCACATTCATTGTTGTTTGCAGACACTGGTTTTAGGACCATGCTAGTCTTGTGATAACGTCTATAACTGGTGTTAAACAATTACTTTTGATATGCTCAAGTACATATTAATGCTCATGATTGCCTTTAGAGAGCACCTGAGAAGGTTGCTTCTCTTGTCTGATGCTGTTGTACTGAATACCATAGCTTGATTCATAAACCTGAGTACCATAGCTGAAACTAATCCAGTCAAAAATGGTTGCCTATGACATGAGAAATTTTGGTAATATCTTTCCTGTGTAGGTGCAGTGCTGCAAGTGTATAAAAAATATATGTGCTCTTAACTAATTGCTTAAATTCCAGTAGTATAGGAAATATTTTCAAACTCACTTCATCAGATGTTTCATCAGTTTCCGACATGCTGCTACTGCTGCTCTCAACATGATCTGACAACTCAACATCTATAGAGATAAGACAGAATGATAATTAGAACAAATTAGAATGAAAGAAAATAGGGATTATTTTATTAAAAACATATTTAATTTTATATTCTCTAGTTAAAAAAAAAAACAAGTTCTTACACTTTCCTGAGGCTGTGAATTAGATCTATATACTCCACAACGAAAATTATATCATCATTAAAAGCTTACATGGAAATCTAATATTTTTCAAACTAACAAATTTATTTTTAAATAATTAAATATGATGAAAATATTTAAATATCTGAGTCTTCTTAAAATCGAGCTGTTCTGAATGAAATATAAAGAGAGTTGAAAAAGTAGTAATATATAACAAACATAAATCAAACAAAGACTTTAAATAGAAAGTGCATAAAATTATGAAACTTGTGCTGAAAATTGATTATTTTAATCAAACGCTATCTTGTGATAGTATAACATACAAAATATATACTGAAAGAGTTTTTTCATGCATAAATATCTAACTTAACAAAAAAATTTTATCCAAAAGAAGTAAGAAAAATTCCTATTTTGATGTAATAACTGCAAATGCATGTTCTGAGAGCTCAGATTTCTCATGGCTTGAATGTATTAACCCAAAATAATAAACAATGAAATAAATACAGTGACACATTTTTCTAAGTAATAGTAACCATACAACCTTTTATTACAACACCAACCCAATAACAATTAATAATTAATATTAAACTGGATAATAAAGTTGATACAGAAAGACAGTTAACATAAATAAACAACATTATAAAGCAGTCCTTTTAAATTAGTTCTGCTTTCATTTTAAAACAAGCTAAAATATTATAACTCGAACTGAAGATCATACACAAAATCAGATGCTACAGAACCTCCTGTTGCAACCTGCAGTTTCTTTCATTAGTTGCATAGACAAAATCAGATGCTGCAGAGCATCTAGTTGCTATAAAACCTACAGCTGCTTTCTTTATTATAGTACATTCTGTACTTATGAATATTCTTTAGAAGCAGAAAGGAAGAAAGCGACTTTTTCAAATAAAGCTGCATAAATATTAATTAATTTTGTTCAGCATAATTTTTTTTTAGAATAGTTTCTGGAGCTTGTGTTTTACGTGGCAGAAGAAAAATAGTCATTGTATCAATAAAATAGATTTTCTGATAACCTACACAAAAGTACCATACAAATAGCTTTCAAAGTAAATGAAGCTTTTAAAGTATTTTAATTACCATCTTCTATTAAATCTTGAAGACCAGCATAATCATTACTTTGAAATTCTTCTGATCCAATGATGAAAGGCAGAGGACGATTTTCATATGGATCCTAAGCATAAACAACAATGCAACAAATATGAATTGCTCCATAAATAAAAAGACAAAAATATAAAAATAAGCCAAAAATCTTAAATACACAAATGGTTACTTGAGTTTTAAACTAATAAAACTTATAACATTATATTTACAGAATTAATTTTTATCATTACAAAACTTGAAAACAATACTAAAGCACTTATATAAGGTAGCTCAATAGAACAGAAATACAAAACAACACTACAATAGAAAATAGTATTGAATGATGAAAAATTTTTTTTGTATCATATCAAATAAATATTTGTCTTCTCTTACATAAAATCTAAACTGTGGGGATCTACTGTGGGGAAAGCCAAAAAAGAAGGAATTTTTTAGAAAAGAATGATAGGATTAGTGAAATTATATTGTAATTAAAGAGAGGGAAAAACAAAAAAGAAAATTTCTGAACTTTTTTGTAGTAGTTTAAATAATTCCACATTTTAATTTTATTTAGTATTTTTATAAAAATATCTTAAATTGGATCCCATAAAAATGATCAAAAATATATATTGGGTGCTTAAAAAAACTACTGGAGATTTAAAAGCATATAGATTTGTATTCAAAAAAGTATCATATCTACTTTGTAACACTTGCATTCATATTGATACAATATGTTCTATGCAAAGAATGACCACACACACTTAAAAAAATTTCTTTATTATTATGAAATCTGATATGACCAACAAAGAGATGAAGATAAATAAGGGACTAGAACTGAAAAGCGATTAATCCATTTACTCAGCAAATTTAGATTCAGAGCTATTACACGCTTATATAAAGTATACCTGTTTGTGGCAGAAATGCATGAGGATATTTGATCTGGTATGGATTCGAAAAACAAAAAATACAGTCCTGAGAATCTACCTTGAAACATTTGATAATTGCTCAGTAAGATCAGGTATGTCTAAGATGGCTGCAATTAGCAACCTAACATGTCTCATACGTGTACAACTGATGAAAGATCTGATAGATTATATTGTGAAGGTTCACTAAAGCTAACTAGGTATCAGAGACAATGACCTTTCAATACACCAGGTGTGATGAACAGTTGACATTCTGCAATAAAACAATGTGAAAAGCACTAATTAAGCCTCCTGGATACACAAATTCTGTTGTCATACTAATAAATGAAAAGTTAGATCCAATATTCAACATAATCCAACATAATCCTTTTTTGCAATTTTTAAATTCTATTTGTGTTTCACATATTTGAATATTGTGCTTTGCTTATCTGATTTCATGCATTTTAGTTGCAAATATTTTGTTTTCTATTCATTTCAGTGTGAAATTTTTCTGCTGTTTTGTGATATCTACATGCATTATTAATTATGATATCTACATGCATTCAAAACTGTTTGAAACTTTAAACTTCCTGGTATGGTTCCACTACGATACTTTTACCCTGTTTGAAGGTAATAAAGATGATTTAATTAAAGTTCTTTCAACAATGAATTCCATTGATCCTGCTACTGAGTTCACTTTTGAACTTGAGTCTTGCAATTCTCCTCTGTTTCTTGGCATTCTGGTCACATGTAACACATCCAACTTCAGTACTACGGTTTATTGTAAACCTTCATCGGTTTTCCTTCCCCCACACTTCAAATCATGTCATCCGACTAAACAAAAGTTAGCTTGATTTTATTCCTATGTTTTCTGTGCTCTTCAAGTTTGCTCCTCCAAACTATCCCTTCATGAAGAACTAAATTATTTAAAAGCAATAGCTATTGACAGGGGCTTTTCACCTAACATTATTAATCAAGCAGTTAAAAAATTCTCATCTCAACACATCAAAAGGCGCACTCTTGTTTTAGGAGATTATAAAAATTCTGTTGTCATTCCCTTCTTTCCATCAATTAGCTATAAAGTTGCACGTATTTTGCAGAAATTTAACTTTCATGTTGTTTATTCTCCCATCAATAAAATTCCGAGTTCCATACTCAAGGACCCCATTCCAGATATGAATTCCCGGGATATTTACAGGATTCCTTGCCAGTGTGGTTTAATTTACATTTGCCAAACTAAGAGAGCCTTAAAATTTCACGTTAAGGAACATGAGGCTCATGTTAGAAAAAATGAAACACAGAAGTCTTCTGTTGCCCAACATTGTTAGTCCGAAAATCGTTCTTTCAATTTTTCTGCTGCCAAAATTATTCAAAAAACATTTTCCATTGGTGAACTGGATTTTCTAGAGGCATTTCACATTCAAAAAAAATATTTCTGTTCTAGTTAATGACCCTAATTCCAATCCATCTTTGCCTTCAGCCTTTAAAGAAATTATGTTTTAGTTTTGGTTTCAACAACAGATGGCGCCAGTACTTATTCCTGTTCAAGCTTTCTTATCTTATCATTATATCTTACCTGTTCGTTTGCACTTTTGCAGCTGAGGATGATGGTTCGGTAAAACCATCAAAACTAGTCCTGTGAAAATTTGAAAATACTGGGTGGCCATAATTAAACTGACAGTGTTCACAGTGTTCTGTAGCGCGATCTATTTGTGAGAATGACGTTACATTTTGTAGGAAGATTAAACAAGATGGGGGACGAAGGATTCCGCAAAAAAACAAATTAGTTCCAAAAGTTGCTGCTAGGGGAATATTGGGCACTGTATAATAGAAAATAGAGTGTTAACAAATGCAAATTAATACGGAATAAAATTACCTTTTATTATGCACATTTTCTGATTTAGTTCAAGTGCAATATGGCAACACTTTTAAAAAAGCATAAAATCTACATAAACACTGATAAAGTCTCCTGATCTGCAATAACACATACGCCGAGCAGAAGTTCTTTATTCAAATTTCCCTTTACATTCATTCACACAGTGCCAGCTGCTTGGGTTTTAAAAGGCAATGTGTCACGTTTCGAATCAATCAGATTGAAAGTTTATGTGCAATGTCTCCTTCTTTAGTCGAGCGTGCGTTACTGGTCAAATTCTTTTACCTCAACCAGTCCAACGCGTCAGCCGCTCTTCGTGCTTTTAGAACACACAAAAAAATGGATAAAGGCAACGGTTCATTGTCAGTTAATGGGCAAAAAGCAATGGTTGCGACCTTTGAGAAAACAGGTTCTCTGAAGGTTCAGTCAGGCAGAGGACGAAAACCTGTACCACAGGATACAATCGAAGCAGTTGCCACAGCGATTGTCTACAGAGGACCAGACAATTTTGCTGCCACCTCTAGCGTTTGTGGAGTAGCTCGGAATATGGATATGCCTTACAGTACGGTATGGAAAATCTTATGAAAGATTATCAACTTCTATCCGTACAAGATCAGCCATGTACAGGAGTTACTGTACCCCGACCATGATAAGCGATTGACTTTTGCTCTCACCTTTCTTGCCAGAATGGAGGTGGATGATGCTTGGCCGTGGAAAATCTTATGGGGAGACGAGGCCCACTTTTACCTGAATGGAATTGTGAATACCCAGAACTGCCGAATTTGGGATGACAAACCACCACATGCAGTCACAGCAATTCCCTTACATTCACCAAAGGTAACTGTTTGGTGTGGGTTCACAGCGGAATTTATTGTAGGTCCATTCTTCTATGAGAACATTACCCTGACAGGACCGGAAACCTGTTCTGTTACCAGAGAGAAATATCGCCACATGTTGAACAGCTTTGTCCTTCCGGCACTTCAGCAAAGACAATGCCTGGGGGAAATCATTTTCATGCAAGATGGAGCCCCTCCACACGTTGCTGTACGGGTGCAAGAGATGCTACGACAGAAATTCACAACAGAAAGAGTCATTAGCTGCTACTTTCCAACTGCATGGCCACCTCGGTTGCCTGATCTTACCTCATGTGATTTCTGGCTATGGGGTTACCTTAAGTCCAAGGTCTATCAAGGAGTGGTCCAGGACCTGGCTATGTTGAAGGATAACATATCACGGACTGTACGGGAGATTCCTGCAGACATGTTACTTTCTGCTATTGTGCATACTGTGCACAGAATGCAATATGTGGTCCACAACAACGGCAGCCACATTGAACCTCATTTGAATGCAAAATAAAAGGTCATTTCCGTATTGATTTGCATTTGTTAACACTCTATTTTCTATTACAGAGTGCCAAATATTCCCCTAGCGGTGACTTTTGGAACTAATTTGTTTTTTCACGAAATCCTTCGTCTAATCTTCCTACAGAATGTGGTGTCATTTTCGCAAATAGATCGTGCTACAGAACACTGTGAGCACTGTCAGTTTAATTATGGCCACCCGGTATAACGCTGATTTTTGTTGTTTGACTTCTAAATTAACAATCCAATACATTCCAAGTTTTTTCCCGCAAAACCAGAATAAGCATTACTATTAGTATATAAGAATTAGTGACAAATATTGCAACAGACATTAACAATGGAGTGTTGCCTCTATGAGGCTTCTTAACCTACAGTTTGTGATATCAATGTAGCCAAGGAATAAGTGCTTCTATAAACAACTAGCAAAGTTATCAGCATACTAATTGTGGCTCTCACTATCCCAGAACCTTTCAAGAAGCTGTCATCCTAGGCATATAACTGCCCTCATGACAGTTACAGATGACTTGTTGGAACCTTTCATAATAATAATAATGATTAACCGTGTTACTGCTTCAACCTTCACAAGGAGTGATTCAACGGTATGACGAGATTGCTTCCCTATGGACAATGGTATAACCTCTGTCAGACTCATTCAGTTTAATTGTACCATGTTTTAATGGGTTCTTGGGTAGCATTCTCATTTGCTAATTCAAATGATACTACCATGCAACCAATTTAAAATGATACAGTAACTTAGCAGTATGACTGGTCAAACTTCCCGAAATGCTATTAAAGGCTTAACAGGGCTTAGTGGAGCTATTTAATTAAAGGAAATTGAGATCTAAAACAAGACCTATAAATCAGGTCCATTAAGCAGTAGAACTACCACCATACTACCTGAAATAACTTTAAATAGAACAAACAAGTAAAATATGAACTTAAAGTCTAAGAGCTGGTGAGATTTACCAGCAACACCAATAAAAGCACATTATTACATACTTTGTAAAATATAACAAGTGTTACTTACATGCATAATAATATGTTACTTACATATACAGAGAAATAAAATAACAGAATATCATAAACACCCTAGTTTTTCTTAAAACAGACTGGGAAATTTTAAACACAATCATTATATAAATTCATTTCATTTACTGATACCTATTTTATGAAATTTGACAATTTCAATTTAGTCACTGTATTTTTACTTGGATCCTTTAGAGTATTAAATTTAGAAATATCTGGAGTAAATCTTAGAATAATATTTTTCATAGAAGAGGATATAAACAACAGGTGCTCAAAATTGACATTACTCATGTGACATGGACAGGCACAATTTTTAATCAAAAACCTATTATAATAAAAGGGAAAGTGTCCATGATTAGTTAAAGCTTGGTTTAGATACTTGTCACTTAGGCATCTTCTCTCACTTACAGTTGAGATTAAATTATATGTGAATCTTCCTTTAGAATCTGGGTCGTTCTACTTTGCTTGTCATATAGTCAAACTTTTTCTTTTCAACAAGGATTTCAAACTGTCAAAGGAAGTCTTTTTATTTAAAATCAATAATTTGATTTTCAGTGGCAGCCTTTGTCAATCTATCTGTTAACTCGTTACCAATGGTACCAATATGACTCTTCAACCAAAATAGTTTAATATCTCTGAAAGCGCTAAGAAAAATGAGCATATCTTTAATCTGTTTAATTACAAGAGGTGATCAAATGAAAAGGTACGAAATGACACGGTGGGTACAAATGTAGACTTTATTCAAAATATACACCATAGGCCTGAGCACAACGATCCCACTGATAAACAAGTCGCAGGATTCCTTGTTCCCAGAATTTCTGTGGCCGGGACGAGACCCAGTCCTTTACAGCGTCTTTGAGTACGTTGTCCGAGTGTAAGTGCTTCCCTTTCAGGTGTTTCTTCAGTGGACCAAACACATGGAAATCGCAGAGCGACATGTCCAGACCGTAGAGCGGATGGTCCAACATCTCCCACTTGAGCTTGGCCAGTTACATGTGTGTGACTCCGGAGACGTGTGGACGCACATTATCATGGAGCAGAACCACACCTTCCGTGAACAGCCCCGGTCTTTTGTTCTTGATGGACCTGCGTAGGCGTCGGAGTGTCTGACAGTACACATCGGAGTTAATGGTTTTTCTGTGCTCGAGGAATTCCACAAGTAGTGGACCTTGAACTTCGAAAAAAGACGGTGAGCAACACCTTGCCTGCTGACTGCACAGCTTTGAACTTTTTAGGAGGAGGTGATGATGCATGCTTCCACTGCATGCTGTCCCACTTTGTCTGTGGCTCATAGTGATGGCACCAGGTCACTTGTGACGATCCGCTCCATGAAAGCGGGGTCTTCCTGATACCAAAACAGATGTTGCAGATGTCCCATACACAGTTCCTTTTTCTGGTCGGTGAGCTGCTTCGGAACCCAAGCAGCACACACCTTCCGATCGCAACCTGTCGTATGCAATTGTCCACACGGTTCCATAGCTGACATCCACCTTCACTGGCAACATTCGCAATGTGACACGCCGATCACTTCTCACTAGGTCGTCCACCTTGTCGATGAGATCGCTTGTGACGACAGTGTTTGCCTGGCCATGATCTCGGGTCATCCCCCCACCCTCTCATGGCCTGCACGAAAACGGGCACTCCATTTTCTTACAGACTTGTCAGAGACACATTTCTCCCCGTAAACTGTCACCATTCGGCGATGGATAGCTGCCGGTTTCTGACCTTCCACTGTCAGAAATCGGGTAACACCTCGCTGCTCCTCAGTCGTTGAATTTTGCAGTGCGAACGCCATCCTGTCCTCATACGGACTGCTGCATCATTTGGATGCCTCTTTTGAAAAGAGCCTCTGCTCTCTCCTGCGCATGCAGGCGCCCACGCATGCTCCGATCCCAATCAGAGACTCCAATCCCATCCCGAGATGTATCGCTACGTTCTCCCATGGTGGAATATGCAAATATTTAACTGTTACGTTTTTACGTCGTTTCGTACCTTTTCATTTGATCACCTCTTGTAGATCGATACTTGGCCAAACATCCATAATTGAAACAATTGCGCTTTCGTAGTCACTATAGGTTTCCACAGGATCTAGCGCAGAATTAGAAACAAGCCAATATAAGGCCTCTTGCAGGGCCACTAACTCTGCCTGATACACAGAGGCATTGTCAGAAAGTCTGTATTTCCTTTGTAAGCTTAGCTTTTCAATTGAGAACATAAAAATGGCTGCCCCTACATGACCATTTAATTTAGATACATCTGTAAAAATCGTGTAGCCTGTCTTATTGTGAAGGCCTTTATGCCAATTCAACAGTTTCAATTGTTGGATGAATGTCTAAATTTTTTCTCAAAGTCAAAATCTCTAGCTGAGAAGATCTCACTGAAACAATTGACAGTTTCATTACCAGCTTTTAATTTAAAGATAGCATATTCTTTTCCCACTAAAATATCGATTGGAGGACATCCAGCTAAAATTTCAAGCTACTGTGGAAACAGTTCTAAAACACTTAGTAATCCACAAAAAAGCGATTGTTTGAATTTGCAAAATTTTGTTACACATTCAGACTGTTGCAATCCACCATGCACCACATGCATACAAGATCTTTCTCTCAACAGCTCTTTTATATAAACTTTTAAGAACTTTACCTTGGAGATTCATTTTACTAAGTCTATTAAGAATATGGGTGCATTCGATTTTTATTTGATCTAGGTGAGGTATAAAAGTGAGCTTTTCATCGATCGTAATGCCCAAATATTTGATTGTCTTATAAACACTAATTAGTTGTCCATGGCACATAAAAAAGATATTCAGAGTCATTTAGCCAGCACTTAATCAGTTGCAGAGAAACACTTTTTCACTATGGGTGCCATTATACACCTGTCAAAGACAATATGATTAGCTGACAGATTTGGATTGGATGATTTTAATCATTGAGATGATGGAAGCAGGTAGTCGGTTCAGTGAGTAACTTGCCACTTAAGCCTTTCTGACTTTAATTTGAGAAGGTGTGGCACCAATCTTTAATTTGAGAAGGTGTGGATGAGAGAAATATTATATACATAGCAGCCAAGTACCTGATGCCCAACAGCCAAGACCATTATACCACCTGGCATACATACACAGCATCAGCTGCACCATTGTCTTCCATCCAGACACAGAATGCCCTTTCAACATGGCTACTGTGTCTGTCCGTACCAATACGAGGCACCTGGCTAAAGGACATTTAGTACACCACAATCTTGTGATCTGCCAGAGACACCTACTATCATGCCTCCACTTGCAGAAGTGTCGCATTCAGTGAGGTTGGACTACATATGAATGGTACTATCATGATTTAATTTAGGCAGTGATGAAAAATGTATATATGTATGGAGGCCTCATGATGAATGCCTTAATCCTGCCTCTGCTTTACACTTGCATATTGTTCCTACAGCTGGTGTGATGGTATAACATCCCATCACATATGACACTTTCTCACATCTACTATTGATTTATAATACCATGACAGCCCAGTAGCGATGTTCGTGATATCTATCGGCCACATGTTTGCCGGAGGCAGCACTCCCAGAAAGTATTATTCGACAAGACAGTGCTTGGCCACACACATGTGTTACAAAAATGCTTTTGCCCCATTACCATTCCATTCTCAAGCCAGATTTGTCATCAATCGATTATGTCTGGGATTACTTGGGACAGCAAGCTGGACTACCTAGGAGTTTGGCTGAACTAGAGGCATGCTTACAGCAACTGAAGAATTAAATGACACATGACACTTATGGAGCCCATATGCCTCAGCGTGTGCCAATATTGCATCACATATTTGTGCTAGAGATGAACCAACAGGGTATTAAAACCTCCATTCATTTACAGTTTTTTGTGTACTAAATGATCTTTTGATTTTATAATCACTTAGGTTTTACTCACATATACAATGTTTCATTTGATTCAGATAATTCTTTCTTGGTGTGCTATTTTTTATGGCTATGAGTGCATATAATAAAATGCTATACTTATCAATTAAGGAAATTATGTAATAAATTGTTATCATATCTGACTGTTACATCTTTGCAAATAAATACACAAAATAAACTGAAAATGCAAATCTGCACCTTAGAATCAAAGTTATGACAAGTGTAAATTTTAGTTACAAACATTTGTCACTAACTATTAATATTGATCACATATGAAGATTAAGCTGCAGAAAAATGTATTATTTTGGAAAAGGATAATCTGGTGCAAAAAGGTGTAGATAAAACTTTCAAAAAATTTGAGTTTGTCAAAAGAAAATTTGTGTTCATTTACAAACTTATGTAAAAACATTAATGCACTTGACGTGAAACACACTATAACGAATGACGTTTTCAAGTATTAAAAGTATTTTATTTATTAAAAGTTATTAATAATATTTTTAAAGTATTAGAATATCATTATTATTTTTTTAAAGTTTCTAAGCAGCATATATCTGCCAGTTTAAATAAAACCTGCAAGCGAAACTTGACTGAAAACAATTAAGCAAACAACCGTATAAGTAAACCCGTAAATGATTTCCTGAAATTCTAATATGGTAGTTGTTTACGGCACTGAAAATTCCAGTCACTTAAATTACTTTACTACAAACTTTTAAATACAAATAAAACTTCCCCTAAACTTTTATACTGGCTGTATACTTCTGAACTGGTTGATATTATAAATGTTAAATTTTAAACAGATAAAGAATTATGACCTTAAAGAAAATGTACCTTAGGTTCAAGTATTGTACGTCCTTCAGATGACAGTTCTTCTTCATCTTCACTATCAGAAATTTCATTTACATTTATTTTATCAAAAGCTTGATCTAAAACAGAAAGTCCCAATTCCACTGCTTTGATGATTTTTGGCAACATTTCTGCCTCTTTCTGTTCCTTTGTTTTCTGAAGATAAATGTGAATAAAAATTTCAAAATAGAAAATAAAAAAATGAATTTTTTCGAATATTTGTCAACATAATAGCAAAATATACTTACTTGTAAATGAGTAAGAGTAGGGTAAAAATAATTTAATATTGTACTTCTACATATCCGACATATAGTCTCTCATGTTTAGGCTTAGCATTATAATGAAGAATTTGAAATGTCTGGTTACATTTTAACACTATATTTATAAGATATTCTTTAAATAACATATAGGTTTTTATCTAGTCTTACAAAATAATTTTGTGTTAATTATACCGTGAAATATACTTAGTGGTACAAGATTTCACTTACTTCAACAATTGCATTTTCTTCTGGTGAAGGTTCTTCAATTTCTTCATCATATACTCTCTAAAAAAACAAACATATAATATATATATATATATTGAAATCATCTAGTTATCAATAACAGTAATCATCAATTATTCACTAAAATTATAAATAGGATGTATTACAAACTAAATATACTTCAAATTAAATTAATTTGATACACTATTAAAAGTAAAAACAAAGTTTAAATTATTAAAAACCGCATTTACTGCTTTTTACATCCCTCAGTTTTTGTTAAGCAATTCACAGAATGATAAAAACTTGAGAGAGAAGATTTTATTTCATAAATTAACCTCTTAACCATAACAGATTTTTGATAAAAATCTTTCAAAATCATTGAATTTTTTTATCAATATCTATTATTACTTTCAAGATTTTGAACTGGTTGGTATTAGCAACGACATATTTGTGATTTTTTTCTGAGGCCATATAAATTTATTTTGAACATGTACATTTTTTCTTTTCAACAACTGCATTTTAGACCTAGCATTATAATGCTAGGTCTAAAATGCATGTAACATTGTTTCCACAGGGTGCTTCATGAAGGACTCCTTATTTTGAAAATAAATAACTCGGAAAGATGACAGATAAAAACATGAAGCAAGTGGTATGTTTATTACAAAAAAACAAAAGAACCTGATACAGAAACCTAAAAAATTACAAACTGTGCTGATAATTAAAAAGTCACAAATTGTGCTGATAGATGGTGCTGCAGGTGGCATTAACATAAGTAGGCTATGCATAGCGGCTCATTGCCATCATGTCAAACGTGATTCAAAATATGAACCTTTTACACAACACACATGTTGCAAATGAAGAATAAAATTCTAAATCACTCTCTGTAGTGAATCACTGGAAATTGACCTACAAGCTTCACAAATAGCCTATTCCAGCTCGTTGAGTGTTAAAGGATTGCTACGGTAAACAATGTTCTTCAAATCCCAAAGAAAGTAGTTACACGGAGGAAGTAAGGTCAATAAAGAGGCCAGTCGATTCCTTTCCTCTTAACTGTTGAATAGTTCAATGCAATAATTCTATTATAGAAGTATTCATCCAGAAAGTTAAAAACATGTTGTGTATGGTGTGGGCAAGTCCCATCTTGCATGAACCATGCTGTGTCTTGTTGTTCAAAGAGCGCTCGTTCAGTTGCGACATATTGTTTCAAAAAAGCAATATATTGGTTACCATTTCTCACAAGAAAAAGGGCCCAATGATGCCTTTGCAGAAGAGTGCAGCCCAAATGGTAAGTTTAGGGCAATGAAGTAGTTGTGCATGTGACAAATGTAGGTTTTTAGTACCCCAAGATAGCAAGTTGTGTCTGTTAATGACACCGGACGAAAATGGGCCTTATCTGTAAACCATATTTGGCCATCAATGATGTCGAGCATCTTGTTGGCAAAATCCTCACTTTGCCATTCAGCTTGAACTGTCATAGCATGACAGCATTGAATCTTGTATGGAAACATGTGTAATGTCTTCCACAGGATTCCGCAAGTGCTGGATGGCCTGATTCTGGATTCAGCTGGAATTCTGTGGACATATTTCTTAGGATGATGTTCAAAAACTGCAGCAAGTCTCGTTGCATTTTCAGGCGTAACGACGGAGTGGGTAGGACCCACATTTCCAGCTAACATCGGCAACACTGCCTGTCTGTTGAAATTTTTTGAATAGCTCATGAATTGTTTTTCCATCTGGGCCTTTTGCAACTTGAAATCACGTTTGAAAACTTCTCTTTGTGGCAGTAGCAGCTGCATTTTTCATGTGCAGTATTTTTGTTGTATTACAAGTTCCCATGGTTTTTATACATAAATTCTGATATTTTTTGCCTCAAATCTATTTTAAATTATCATTTGTGGAATCTGCCAGCAATGAAAGAAACTGCAATGAAAGTTCAGCAGGAATATAATATTTTGTTGCAAAATCACAATGATGAGAATGAGTTTTCTAGATAGCGGTGCAAAAACAGCAAGCTTATGCAATTCTGTGATACAATCGAAAACAAATCGCTGTGTATACAGAGACAAGAAAAATTAGAGAAGGATTTTATGAAAAATGTACGTGTTTTGTTTTTTAATGTATCATATAATCCTTATTTAACAATTAAAATTTTTATTTTATTTTTTATATGTTAGTAATGTTTGCCTACTTATGATAAATATGATAATTTAGGAATTTAAAAAAACAAAACCTTCTTCATAAAAGTATCCTTGTATTGTTATATTTCAAAGAAACTGTATTATTTAATCTTCTTATAATAATTAGAAGCTTCCAGAAAATAAACTGAACTACTGCTGGCCTGATAATATATTAAAATAATAAAATTTAAAAAAGAACTGGGTTTAACAAGTTCCTCAGCATTTTAAATAATCACATTATCTCAATAATGCATCTTGATAATGATAAGAGGTTTGTACAGCAAATCTTAGTTATGCATTACAGCACTGATTTTATAAATACATCAAAGTAAGTAGATCTCCGAATTTTTAAAAATCTTCTCATTCAAACAAATGGAGTGACTGTGACAGACCACAAATTAATAACAAAAATAATACATGCAAGATTTAACAATAAGCATGTTTATTAATTTCTAGATTAAATAAACTTTAAGAAGCTGGGATAACTGGATCCAGGTTCCTAATTTAAAATTATTACTACATTCTTAAAATAAACTACAATCATTTCTATAGAATTATACACAAATTTCTATGCTATTTTAGGCAGCTGCTCTTTCTATAACAAAAAAAAAAAAAAAAAAAAAAAAACTAATTTTGCTTAAGAGATTACTAATTTTACTTAAGATTACATATTCCTTTCCTATTACACTTAAATTAGCATTTAAATTTCCTTTCCTTCTACAGTACATATCCAGACATAATCCTATTACTAAACCTTGAGTTCCTAGATTTTATAATTCACACTATAAAAAAAAAAAAAAATACTGGAATTGGACCAGCCATTTAGAGTTCAATACTATTCTACACATGTGCCACTCTGTTGCAGTTGACATTTAATCGCTGGCTACTAGATGAATCCACATCAACACCTAGAGTATGAAATGAAGGAAGGTCTTCAGAGGTCATTTTTTCATTCGGTAGACCTGTTGTTTTTCTCTAGTCTGCAACTGGCCCTCTGGGCCCTAAGCTTCCATAGTTGTAACTCATTCCCTCCAGTACTCAAACACTTTCTTTTAATACCCTAGGGCACAAACGAAAATACTAGTTTTGAGTTCACAAGAACCAAGCTCAGAACAGAGCCCATCGTTTCACAGTGACCATGGTTAGCTATGTTGTCCTGGCTACAAATGTATTCACTAGGAAAGCTAGACTTGTGACTGCTGACGTAAAGAAAAACTCCCACCTCGCAGGCTATGGAAACAATTGTCACACTTTAATTATTCTCAGATTACTAGTTTTCCCATGATCGGGATGGCTATGATGATTAGTCACATCAACATTCTTATTCATTGGAAAGCTGGACTCGTGGACATATTCGGCCCATAGACACAGCTCTTCTCCCTGGGAGAGCAAAACATCACTTCTTTTTTTTTCCCCTCCCTCTCTAACAAATCTGAATGTTACTCTTGCACAAACTTCGAGAAAATCTAGGATCAACACCCACTTAAATTCTACAGGCTTAAGGAAAACTTAAAATTATGCTTGACCAACCAGAAATATTTTCTGCTTTTCCTTTTTTTATTTTCAATTTCCCTAACTGAATAGAAACACAACTGCTGTAATAAAACCTGTTGTTTTGATACCTGAAATGTGAGTTACCAAACATGTGAGACACGAAATTCAATCCCTGTTAACTTCCAAAAACAAGGTGATCCGAACACAGAGAGAAAAAGTCAATCTTAACTACAGCCGATGAACTCTTGATGCTCTTCCATTTAAAAAAAAAATTATCTAACAACTGTGACTTTCACAAAAGTGAAAGTTAAAGCAAAGATGGCAATTATTTTCTTTTTTCCCCTACAACCAGTAACTAAGCACCCCCCAGTGACTTTTCTCCATTCTCAAAAGTGCAAGAAAGGCACAATTAATTTTGCAACAGAAACTTTCCTGGCTCAACAACAAATGTTAATTGACAAGATAACCATAACTACTCTTATTCCCATTCACAGCCTGCTAAGAAGCTACTTTTGGGGGACACTTAACAGGTAACTAACAATGTCCCTGTTTTAACTACCCCACCCCACCCCAAGATAGATGTTCAAAAACACATTCCTTACTCTTGGTGAGAAAACTAAGAAGCGAAAATACACAGCGAAAGCTTTTAACTGAAAGAAAAAAAATAAATAAATAAATAAATAAAATCCTACTACATTAGTCAGCAGCAATTTCTGTAAAATAAAAACCTTAATACCAGTTAATTAAAATACATTAGCACAATTAAAATTTGTGACACAGCAGTATCATCATTACCATCTGCTTTAAATTCTTTAAGATTAAAAACAAAACCTATTAAAATCACATTTCAGTTCATCAACATTAAAATCATTCTTATTAAAATTATGGCTCATTTTACAAAAAAAAGTGAGATAAAGTGAAATTCAAAAAAGAGAAAAATCTGCACAAAGCACATATGTTATCTTGTACAAAGTTTTAGAAGGAAAAACTTTTAATGAAAAATTAAATTTACAATATTTGTACTGCCATCAATCGACAATTTAGTTAGAAGCATAACAAAAATGAATAGGAGAAGAGGTTTCTGTTAATAAACTTTATGAAGAACAAAAACAAAGCCCAGGAGACAGAGAGATGCAACACAATCAGTTCAGAATGATCATTTGCATGCGAGTCAGACATGACAGTTAAGGGTTAAAGATCTTATAGTTCATGCTATGGCAACACTGGCAGAGTTCACATACATGAAAATATACACAGTAACAGAATTAAATTAGCAGTTCAAAATTTTAGATACACAACATTTTCTGTCTCTATTATTATTGTTGTATAGGAATTTCTACGGCACAAATGCCATGAGTGATTAATACATATATTCTTTATTTACATGAGAAACACTATGATAGAAATGGTTTAGTCATCTGAAGAAATATACAGTACAAAGTCCGAAATTCAGACGTCTGTTATCCAGAATGATCTAAAATCTGGAACTCAAAGCCACAATTATTATTTTGTATGCTTTATGCATGCATATTTGATTTTTCCTTCCATAATAAAACATGTGGAGATTTTCACTTAAAAATTAACGATTCTTCATTTCTGTAGCATTGAACCATTTAGGCACTAAATAAAATACTTCCTCTATTGGAAAAACAATCACGTAAGCATAAATTTGTGAGCTTAATAATTTGGCTCTGTAGCTGAGTATCTGCTTGGCATACATCTCAAACCGAAACATTCATGTATTTTATATCCACGACGCCGAACTGATTCATTATTTATTATATTTTGCTTTTATCACCGCATGTTCATGACAGCTTTAGTAAAAACTCATGCAGTGATGTCTAAACTTTTTTTTATATTAGTAATTGAATAACAAGAGTATGGCAACCTTTTATGCTTTTATACCTATTATTTGGCGATGATTATAGATTTTTTAATGCTCTAAGAAATGTTGACGAAGAAAAATTCAACAAAAATTTCTCTTCATATGCTAAAAAAAGATTTTGTTAATGAAACTCATAGGCCAAAAGATTACATTTAGTGGCACTTTAATTAAGAATAACTGATATGTTATTCACCATAAACCCAGAAGCGGTGGCAAAATATGTCGGCACCAGACAGCAGAATTTAGGGAAGACGAGATTTTTGGAAAGCACCGGGAGGCATAATTAAGGAATGAGAAGTTTTTTATGATTTGGGGAAAGCACTGGGATACAAAGTTTAGGTGCGGTGAAAATTTAGAACTTAGGGAGGCGTTTTGTAGCAGAATTTAGGAGCCGTAGAGACTGCACCAGGCGGTATTTAGCGCTGACCCTAGATAAAGCATTAAGTATATGTGGGAGTTTATTTATTCAGAATTCAGATTAGTTTTAAGCATGTGCATGAAATAAATGTAGGTATAGTAAATAAATAAACTAATACAATTCAGGCTTAATTCAGTACGCAATAGAAGCAAGACAAAATTTAGCGGAACAACTTGGCTTTCATCGCCAATCTTGTGATACACTGCCAATAATGTACAACAGACGATATTAAGCTAGGCTAAAATTATCTTTACTGATTCTAAGGCATTTCATTTCAAAGTAGCGGACTGTGCTGCTCCCTAATCTTCTAGTTTGATCCAGCTCATTAATTTTTGCAGACTGTTATTATTATGGCAATTTTATAAAAACTAAGATTGAACTTTCGATTATGTCAATAAGAGTTTCCAATTCTAGAGCTGCCAAAGGATCTACAAAGTAAAACCATGTTTCGACATCCATTAAACAAAAAGTGTAATTGCAAAAAATGGGTAAAGACATATCCGTCTCAAAATTATGCGAGGAGTATGGCATTAGAAAGTCAACTGTATATGGCATAAGATAAAAGAAAACTTTTTGAATTTTTTGTGGAAGCAACTTAAACAACTTACACTGAGAGAAATGTTTAATAAAGTAAACAAATAAATACTAAGCTTTTTTTTTTGTAAATTTTGATATCCTTTAGATCATAATTGTTCTTTTATTTCATAAATTACTATTTCATATTTTTAATTGTATAATTTCTGTATGGCATCCTACCAGATTTAAATTGATGATCCAATACCCAGAAAAATCCCAAATCCGGAATTGCCGAAGTCCCGACGAGTTCGGATTTCAGACTTTGTACTGTACTAAGATTATCTACAAAATCTTATGTTATTCTAATAAGCAACTGTAACATGGTGATAAAATGTAAGGATCCAGAATATTTTATTAAAAATAATGCATAAACTTTTAGGAGAAAATATTACTAGTTAAATAATTCTATCAATTAATATATATTTATAAGCTTGAGAAAGCAAGATGTAGAGACGTTACAGACAAGGGATGGAAACTTTAGATGGTTGTATCTTGGAATGTTTTCATAAAGTTTCAAAAAATAAAAAGGACAACAGATAAAATCAAACAGCAGAACTGATTTCCATGTTATTACATAGTCAGATCATTCTCATTGATCTCAAATTAACTGCAATTAAGTAATCAACAGAATTTCTTATAGGACTTTTAAAATAGTCAAATGTTAATTTTTCATGTTAAAAAACTCTGTGATGATTTTTATAATTACATAATAAAAAACATATGAGTGCACAGAATTTGTTTAGAGATACAAAAAATTACCTCCTTCTGTTATTTTGAGAATTTAAATAAATAGAAAATACTTTTTATACTTTAATAAAAGTTATTAAAATATTTCTCTTAAAAACACATTTTAAGAATTCAAAACACAGCTATTATACAAAGATAATTAAGATGGAATACTTACATTTTCAACAAACTGCAAATTTGAAAGCATATGGAAATCATTAATTATGTTATTAATTTTGGCGGATGCCATCTATAAAAAGAAAAAGATGGAAAACAGTTGATAATATTAAATTAGAATAAAGGTTATCATAAAACACACTGATATTATCTACACTAAAAATAGCAATATAATTTTATGTAACTTTCTCTTTTGTCCTGGTCACTACACTTTCCAGACAAATTTTAACATATGAATAAATTATGTAATGCTTCTTACATATTATTATTCAAGTGTAGATTATAAATATGTTATGCAAAAGATTTTCATATCATTAAGCATCATAACTTCCGAGCATAGCAGATTAAAAACAAAAACATCAATTATATTGAAATAGCTATACTAACAGATAAAAGAATTGTTTTGCTATAATTTTGCATAATAGTAAAAAGTTTGAAAATGTTCCTGTATACAATAAAGTCAAACAAGCTTGCTCTCTTTTATTCAGACAATTTTCAGTATTCTTCTGTTATTGGAACCAGATTCAGAAATGTATATATGTATGCATGTGTATATGGATATGGTGACAGGAAAAATGCCCACAGGAAAAAAGCCCACAGGAAAAATGCTCACAGAATAATGCTCACAGGTATAATGTGTGTGTATTTAATTACGGCAAAGCCTCTAGGGCTATCTGCCTAAGGGAAGGGATGCCTTCGTGGAGGACTTTCTAAGGGAAACTGGCTCGTATACACGTTACACATGGGGAAAACCCCGAAAACACCCATGCAGCTAGCCCGTTCGCGGGATTCGAACCTCGGACCGAACTACCAGTGTTCAGCGACTTGTGGGCTCGGCCGCTGGTGGGCCCCTCACAGGTATAAAAGCCCACAAGGAAATATGCCCACATAGAAAAAAGCTCACATGGAAAAATGCCCACTTAGAAATATGCTCACACAGAAAAAAGCTCACATGAAATATGTTCACATGGACAAATGCTCGCGTTAACCTTTTCAGCTGCGGTAAATAAAGGCATGAAAACTGTAGTAAAATTTTGCATGTACTGTAATATTTTATACCACTGCCTCTGTACATTTTTTTCCTGTAACTGCCAATAATTAATTTTTGTTTCTTTATTCTACTTTTGCATACTTTTGATGTGTATCAATAGAAATTGATGTTTGAATGTAGTTATTCAAGTTTAGAGCCAAAAAAATGTAAAATTTCTGCAGAAATTTAAAATTTTAGAAATAAAATTAACATTTTTAGACACTTTGATTATGTCTCTCAGTTGAACATTATAAAGCAGCCTTCGAGAAATCTCCTAAAACTACAAATTGTTGCGAAGACTACCTCATAACACACTAAATTCATTATTTAATTGTAGCCATCTCAATATGTGGTTTTTATTTAACCGGCTGAAAAAAGATTTAGCCTCTCAACGTTTATTATTAGTTAATGTAAATATAGGATGTACTGAAGTAAAAAAAAGAAAAGAAAACATGAAAACTTACACTTGTTAATCGTGAACCATGTAAGAAAATATGATGAAATCGATGATAAAACTTATATATAAATATTATAAATATATAAATATATATAATATTATATATACTTATATATAAATATTTTAAGTAATTTAAATAAAATCATTCTAAATTCTCATTCATTATTCATTATTCTTCAAATATTTTATTATAAAACGTGTAAATTATACTTATTATTAGTTTATTTTTTAACATTAAAATTGCAATACTTTTTCACTGTGTTATTTGTTCATGTTTACTCTTTCTCCTCTCCTTTTCTTAATAAAAACGTCCATTTGTTAATCTTTGTAACACTGAATCTACACATAATTGTAAAGGTTTTGAAAATACCTAGATGTTTTGGTATTTAATAATTTTTCTTTAGAAAACTTAAGTAGGTGAACGATGTTCAAATCGATAAATTATTGATTCATTAATGTAAGGATATTTCTATGTGAATTATTTATCAGTGGGCTTATTTTCATGTGAGCATACTTTTGTGTGAGCTTATTTCTAAGTGAGCATTTTTCCATGCGAGCTTTTTTCTATATGGGTTTTTTTCCTGTGAGCATTTATACCTGTGAGCATTATTCCTGTGAGCTTTTTTTCCTGTGGGCTTTTATCCTAGAACCTGATGTGTTTTACATATGCATGTATACAAGTATGCATGTGTTTGTGTGTGTATACTCACATACATTATGTAATTATATGCATTATATATGTGATAATTTTACATGTTAATTATTACTGTATAACTAAGACTAGAGCATTTAAATTACACATTTTTTCAGGTTTTCTAACACAATTGTACTAATTCAGCAGAAGATGAAATAGTACAGATGTAAGAAGTTTACATCTTCATTCTCATATGAAATTAATATGAAAATTCTTGACTGTAATGCTTACTATAACAAGCATTAATTCCCTTTTAATTTTAACATATTGTACTTTTTTAAAATTCGCTTTAATGCTGGGAAAAAAATAAACAATTTCTTAGCCTCACTGTAGAGCAAGAATGTCAAACTCGCGGCCCACAACAAATATTTTTGCGGCCCGGCCAATATATTGGCAAATAATATATATAATAAAATAACTATCGATGAAGAAAAAATGAAATGTTTACTCTAACTAATATGATAATTATCAGTGTTGTTAATTACTCACAGCTACGACACCACACTACTTAAATTAAAATGGTGTGAGTAGCTGCGTTAGCTACCTCGGATTTTGGGGGCCGTGCACTCAAGAACTATCGCATCCCCCGAGAGCCGAATGGGCCCGAACTCATGGTCTCAGTTTCTAATCAGGTTTGTACGATATATTGGGCTGCATGTGCATGCACTTGCTTTATTATTATTATACTTAATTCATATGTTACAGATTTCATAGTTATATTAGTTAGTTTTTTTATTAGAATGTAATTAGATTTGCCTCATGTTCCTTCGGCCAACAACAATTTTGAAAGACAGCCTCGTTGGAAGGTTAAAATAGAAGCAGCGGTGCATTTAATACCTAAATAAATTTCGTACTTGTGTGCCATTCACAAAATCCATATATTATGATCTTTCCCAGTATATTCGAGAACATGCTATCAACTCGGACAAGACGAGATTGCCAGTAATCAAGCTACATCTGCTAGTTGATGCTAACATTCGACGCCTTTTCCTGATGGTGATTTCATCAGAATCCTAATGAAAGCTGGAGAATTGTTTGCCCTGGATGTGAAGCTTTTCAATCAATTTCATTGTCTCGAAATACAGTTGGAAAGAGTTACGATTTAGCCACAATTAAGTGATCAGATCAAAGCAAAATCATCTAGTTCGAAAGTTTCTCCATTCCCTGTGACGCGGCACGGACATTAGGCAAGCTCATTAGCAGTGTTTCTTCTTCTTGTGACAGAATTTAACATTTTGAGGAATTACTGGAACTAATACCGGCCTGGTACTGTTACCAGGAGAAGATATATTTACTTGTGTTAGACTTCGCAAAACCAATCTACCTTTGGCAAAATAATTCTGTAGCTACAGATAGCGCTCCATAATGACCGGGAAAAAAACAAGGCTTCGTAGCATTACTAAGAAAAAACTTATGAAATTCACGGTTCAAACATTCACCTATGCATTGTATTATACGCAAGAAGTTCTATGCAACGAAAGTAAATAATGGAGAATGTTTTGTCATATAAAAAAATTATAAATTTAATAAGATCTCGAGGTTTAAATCAGCGTCAATCACGCTTTCCTAATGCTTAGATAGTGAATATTTGGGTTTGTCCTACTATACGAGTACGTTGGTTATCTTGCTCCAGACTCAAACAATCTGATTTGAAAGAAGAAATGTCAGTTTTTAAAAAACGAAAAATCAAGACGTAAGTTTGTTTTACGACCAATATGATACAAGATTTATCTTTCTTGGTTGATATAACCAAACCCTAACCGATTTAATTATTGTTACAAGGAAAAGATCATATCATTACGAGCATGTTTGACATAATTAAACATTCAAATGTCAACTATTCTTGGAAAAACATTAAAAATGAAGATTTGACGCACTTCCCGACGTGCACATGAACAAATCAAGTTAGAGATGATCTTGTTGTATCAAAAATGCAGAAAAAATTCAATTTACAACTGAATTTGAAACAAGGTTTAATGATTTTAGTTCCCTCGAAGACAATTTTTTTCTCTATTTTCTCATAATATTGACTCAGTACCCAGCCATATACAAATGGAGGTGATCGAGTTCAATGCAACTCAATTTGAAAGCAAAATTCATTGAAGTGGGCATGCCTGAATTTTACAAATATTTACCAGCCAGGTTTGAAAATAATCGAAAATTCGCATATGAAATTATTTCCATGTTTGGTAGCACTTATCGTGCGAGCAGTTTTTCATCATGAAAGGTAATAAGTCTCCATTAGAACCGTATTAATGATGCTCACCTTGGGTCAGCGTTGAAAGTTATCACTGCAAACAAAATTTCTCCGAAATAGGAAATAAAGAAGAGAAGAGATGTCAGTATCAGGACGTAAACATTAAATTTTTCTTTTCTTTTTATTATAATATATTATGGTACTTTTCCGTTCGAGGCGCAAAATCTCGCAAGCAGACTTGTTGGCAACAACATACACTATTACACATAAAAAATGTTTAACAAATGTTAGTTCTAAGAATTTTTTTATTTGATATGGTTTTTTTTAATATGGTTTAAAATTTTGTAAAAAGCAAATAAAAAGACAATAAACTTGAAAAAAGACATTACTTTAAGAATTTACTATGCTTTCATGGTTCAAGATCCCGATTCGCCGGTTCGTTTCACGTGACTCCAAGTGATCTCATTTCACGTAAACTACGCTGCAAAAATCTAATTCTCTCAGTAATTATCTACATTAATTTCAAGTTAAATCTTAAGTTGGAATCATAGTTTAAATGCAATAATTATTTCAATTCGTACGAATAGCTTACTCAGAAATTATGTAAAATCGCAGTACTTTACTTCGCTAGTGCATTCTCATTAGAATTCATGAATTTAACCCTTGATTTTGCCTTTCTATATTTTCGCCTTCTGGGTGAGCGGTGTGATTGCATTCTAATTGACCGGAAATGGTCTTAGGGCATAAAATTTAACTATCTCGTTTAATATTCTATGTAAATGAATGCCAGTATTGAAAGAAACAATCAATCTGATAAGAAATGGCTGCGACTTGTTTTGAAAATGAAGCGTAAAAGGTTACCAGCATAGGATTTCCGTTTGGCATCAGTTGTACATTTTTGGCGACTTTATCGTTTGCGCCGGCAAACGAAAAAAAGTACCATTTATATATTATATATATTGTTTTTATTATTGTATTATTCGAATAAATCTACGTTTCTATGAATTGATTTTTTTTTTTTTTTTTTTTTTTTTTTTTTTTTGTGGCCGCTTAAAGTTAAACCTTGCTGTTTGGCCCAAGTGTACCATGAGTTTGAATCCCTGCTGTAGAGTGATTAAAATTATCTTTTATTCCAAACACAAATAAGCATTCACATTTTTTCATTTACATTCCTCCAAAAGCCTAATTTCAATAACTAGCACTTTACAAGATCAAACATACTGAAGACTCCCATATTAATTGAGCAATCTGCTGAATAGTAACATATATAATGCACATAATATAGCATTTGGTAGTTTTTTTCGTCACTTTTATTTACAAAGTTACTTAAAGCTTTCTGCATTTTTTAAATCTCTCATAGAATGCAGTTTACATAGCAAGATTTCTCCAGAGAAAAACATTTATAGTTTATCTCTGTAGAAAAACTTTACTAAGAAGTAAAGGAGGTTTTGCAACGGAAAAAGTCTTTATTTAATTCACACATTAGTAATAGTTTTATTCTGATAACAAAGTGTATTAAATAAATTCATAACTCAAAATTTCATGTGAATTTTTCTTCATATGAATGCAAAAGCTTATAAGAAATCTTGCGAAAACTTATTCCAACTCAAAATATTTGTATTCAGATAACAGTTAAATACTCTCTCTATAGCTAGCGAATATTTTATGCTAATGCTTACGAAAAAATTAAATAGCTGTTTTCTTAATCAGTTCGAAAATGATTCCAAAATAACTAACTTCACATAGCTAAAAAATATTTAAAAAAAAAAAAAAAAAAAAAAAACAGAAAATGCAGAAAACAGAACACAGGTATTGAAAAATGTTTTTTTAAATATCAAGCAATTTAAAAATGATAGGCTAATTACCTTGGTTTCGTGCACCAAAGAGTCAACAGCATTTTCAACTTCGTGTGTGCGAGATATGATGTTATGAGAAAATTCATTAAGCAAATTATATAGCTGGAAAAGAAAAATCCAGCATTATTAATAAAATATATATGAACTTAATAAAATATTCTGTACCTTATAGAAAGATAGGTGGCAAAGCCTATCAAATCATACCTTAATTTAAGACAAACTCTAATTCTAAAAATATTTCATAAGAAAGAAAAAAGGCCTGTATATGAAACATCCTCAAACAGATAAATTTAAAGTGCTTCAAAGAGAATTAAGTTATAAGAATATCATATCTTCAGGCAAAACTAAGCAAATAAATATAATACAGTTCAACAGTAAAATCATGGGATACATGATAAATTACTTATGCACTTTTTATATATTTTGCTGTAATTTAAAACAGCATGGTTTCCAGAATTCCAATTTAAGAGTAGTCTTACATTCAGTTCAGTAAAGTAATTTAGTTTATGACTATGAAATAAAAAGCATAAACAGTAAGAAATCAAAATGCTGCTACAAGATGACATGCATACAAAAAAAAATTAAATATTTGATTCCCTAATTGTATTAGATCAATATTTTTCATCAAATTTGAATGGCTATATCATGACTTCAAAAAAAAAAAATAAATAATAATAATAATAATAATAATAACAACAACTACCAGTATGTATGCACTGGGTTTAGAAATTTGACTGCTCCTGTTTAAACAAGCCAATATATTTCATAACTTAAATGTACATTTAAGTATTAAAAACCTTTCTTTTGTTATATATCTAACCACATTTTTTACTTGTGCATACTTACTAAGTATACATTTTTACTTATATATGTATAAGTAAAAATTTACCCCAACATCTCCAGCCAGGCTCCAATTTCCACTGTTCTTACGAATTTCATCAATAGTCCAAGCACGATCCCACTGCTTGTCCCCTTCGGCATTAATATTTGTCACAGACTGTTCGGTTTCCTGAGATAGAGAAAGAAAATAAGTACTTTCCTGTTACTGGGGCCAGATTCAGAAATGTAGGTATGTATGTGTGTATGTATCTGCATGTGTATATATGTGTCTACACACATGCATATGCATGTACATATATGCATGCACACATACATTTCTGAATCTCGTCGTAAACAGTAGATAATTTTTCTTTAAATTTGTTTTAAATTTGTAAAAAGTACACATATCATTATTGAGAAATGGACATGCATATTGCACCAACTTTTTTGTATGTTACAAATGTTTTATAAAGCACAAAGAAATGTTCAACTGGCTATGATCACAAATACATTTTCACGCACTCACTCTATCATCACATTCTGTCATCCCTATCTTAAAATTATCATTAAATTTGTACGTGTTATCTATACAGCAAAAGTAAATATATTTTACTCATTATTCTGATTATAATCATGTGCTTTCTCCTTCATTAATTACCTACAGTTTCAGTCTCTAACGTTCCTATATAATATATAGCTCATTTAGAGATAATTTAAAATAAATCTGAAAAGAGTTAAGAGTTGCAACTCATGGCAAAGTTACTAAAATAAAAACTGAGCTGATAAAAATCCATAATTCTTTCAAAAAATAAAATTTTCTCTAGATTCCTTTTTCCAACTGTGAGCAAAGACTGAAAAGTTTTAAGAGGGGGGGAAATAACCTAAGCATGATTTATCAATACTTTATGGATTGAAACGATTTTTAAAACGAACTACTGGATGCCGACAGCTACTACATAGTAAAGATGTTGCCTCCCACATGAAGAATGGTGTAAGAATGGCCACTGTGTACAAAACAAATCTCAGAAACAGAACCAACCTTTTTAATCTTTTAAATCAGTATATGAAAGAGAATGCTTGTTAATTTTGATAGAGCAAAACAAAAGACGGCTGTCTGCCTAAGAAAGGTTATTGAGCATCTGTAAGGATACACATATACCCCCTGGCTTATTTGAATGTTCCACCTTCAAACAGCAAAATATAACTACATTTTTACAAGACGTGGTTCTACAATCAACCGAAATTCTCTATAGTTTGCTTATACAATATGGGAACAAACAGGAAGGTGTCTTTATTGCCCACTGCCACACATTAGATATAAGACACATTAGATCATGCTGCTACCTTCAATAAGAACCATATCATATTCTAAGAAACCCATTTATTGCAAATTTTCTACATTGTCATATTAATTTTTGGTACTTCGTCATTATAGCAGCCCCCAAAATTGAATGATTAAACAACTAGGCTAATCTTTGGAATATGGTAACAGGTAGTTTGGCAACATTTTGGTAAGGTGATAAAGTTTACTAGCTAGGACTTTAGCAGTGTACATGGATAAAGTCAAGAGTGTGCGCAATGCCATTTTTGTGCAATTCTGGGATTATTTTTTAAGTGAAAATAGGTCGACGTGTACATGGATACCATGTATGTGCAATTCTTAAAAACACGGCAAGCAGTGGGCGATTCTGCACTTTCTCCCAATTTCGTACCTAATCTTCATTATTAAGCACTTTTAAGCATTTTCGTTCCATAAAAGTTCTAGCATAAGCGTAATTCGGCTAGCAGATTTTTGAGAAAAAATGTTGAGTTAAAAAAAAAAACATGTCTTTATTTCGTGAAAGCAAAATTACGTCCAAAACAAAACTAGCAGGTTGCTGTAGCAGGGTTGGTTGCCAAATTACCATAAACCAAAGATTAACCATCAACTGTATACCTCACTACATGTTATATCACGAAATTTTGAGGGCCACTCTAATAAGGAAGTATCTAATTTTCTAATGATGTCTGATTAAAATTTTCTAAAACAGCCAATTACAGTACAAAATCTGTAATCCAGACGTCCATTATCTGGAATGATCTGCCACAAACTTTTCTTTTGTATGCTTTACGCATGCGCGTTTAATGCTACGCATGCAAGTTTAATGTTTACGCAAGCGCGTTTAGCACAAAAAAACGAAGCAACTTAAACAACTTACATTGAAAGAAATGTTTAATAAAGTAAACAAATAAATATTAAGCTTTTTTTTTGATAATTCTGATATCCTTTAGATCATAATTGAACTTTATGTCATAAATTATGGTTTCATATTTTTAATTGTATAATTTCTGCATGCCATCTTACCAGATTTAAATTGATGATCTATAATCCGGGAAAACCCTTAATCCGAAATCACCGAAGTCCCGACGAGTCCGGATTACGGACTTTGTACTGTACCATGAAGCACTTTAGGATTGCTATGTACAAGGAAAACACCTCTAGGGGATGGATCTTTTTTAGATCCGTTTAGATGGATTTGAATGGGTTTGTAGGAAGAAAGGTTCAGACGTAGCGACACCGATATACGGATTCGAGTTCAGATAATTTTAGGAAGTTTTTGGATGCTGTTAAGGAATTTTGTGTGCCACAGACTAAAGACGAAGGAACATCTAAATGGTAAGTGGCTATTTGCTTTTTGTAGTGCTTAAATGTATGACATGTTTTTCCTTTTTTATGTTATTTTATTGTTTGGTTTAAAATGTAGTTTACTGAGATTACGTATTTTTTGTTTGTCTGTATTGTAGAACTGGTGCTCCTTTGACTTTTTAAGTGAAAATATATTAATGTGTATGTGGTCAAAATGAAGGGAGTGCGCAATGCAAGTTTGTGCAATTCTTGGATTTTTTTTAAAGTGAAAATAGGTCGATGTATAAAGTCAAGGGAGTGCGCTATGCCATTTTGGTTCAATTCGAGGATTTTTTTTTAAGTGAAAAATAGGTCGATGTGTACATTAATACCAAGTTTGTGCAATTCTTTGTCTTGCTATTCTGGGCAAAAATCGCCATTATGCAAGCCAAAATAATAATTCAAAGAATTGCACAAACTCGGTATCCATATACCACCAAAAATCACCAAGGTGTACCCTAAAATATACTTTTACCCGTATGTACTATTTCTTTAACATAATGAATGACTGCTTTGCAAACAATTTTTTAAATAGGCATTTCTTTTTACACTCATAAAGAATTCAAATCAACATTAATATGTAGTATAATATTAAGGAATTCAATTGCTAAAAACACTAAAGTAGATGTTAAATAAAAAATTTCTTCTCCAATCATATATCAAAAAATAAATTTCAGCACACAATCTTTTCAAGCTTTGATTTTTCTTAATGTTCATTAAAATTTTCTAAAATATAAATACATTTTTTAAATATCCATAAAATATATACTTTTATATTCACATATTTTTCATTATGGTGTCAATGATAACATTAAAAACTACAGAGTTTCATCCAATAACCTACTTTTCAAATCAAAATCAAAATTCTTTTGAATAAAAATCAGATGAGCAACTTATTTTCTGTCAGAAATAAAACTGTAAACCGCAGAACCGTAACATCTTTGGCTAAAATAAATGCTGCTAAAGAAAAAAAAAAGGTAACTTTCAGACCCATTACTAAATAAGAATGTAGTATATTACACCATAGGTATGCAGTTCCTACAATCTAACTAAAAAATAAAAAAGCCACCCAACCAGTATAGTGGTTAGCATCATTGACTGCCATGCTGAAGGGGCCGGGTTTGAACTTCCCGAGAAGGCATGGATGTTTGTAAATGTAATAGTGTCAGTACGGCATGGTGGCACTCTTAGATATGCGGCGAGCCAAAAGTCCTCTAGTGTGGTTTGGTGGAACGGGACAGGGGTGGGAGACCCTCGGACCCATAACACTGGGGTGCTCTTTATCAAAATTGGGGGTGGAACTGAGCAAAATCGCACTGTCACCTATAAGGTGGTCCTATTGCCAATGGCAAATGTATCTTGAGCGCTGCTTGCCACGTGGACTTAGGCTAATGTTGCTGTCAGACTAGTGAGCATAAGTAACAACAACAAAAAACAAATTTCCAAAACTACAATGAAAAATATTTCACACAAGTTTAATCTATACATACATAGCAAGTTAATCATTTCACTAAATGATACAAGTTTAATCTATACATACATAACAAGTTAATCATTTCACTAAATTATATTTTCTTAAAAAATTTAGGATATGACAAAAGTGCCAATCTGAGCAAGTGTTTATTTATTCACTTATTTTTTTTTATTCAGCCCGAGTCTCTTTTACATCTACCAATTATCTTTCATATAAAACGTATCTGGAATAATAATTTTATTTACCCAATCTCAAATTTTAATCAGATTTAAAACGATGTGGAATTCTTTTAATTTTCGCTTTGCAATTGAAAATGAATGTTTGTCTTAAAAAGTGTATTATGAAGCTAACTTGCTAATCACCTCCGAAAAAAACGCACAAGAAATGTTTATCACTAGAAAATTTACAATTAATAAAAAAAATTTCATATTGCTCGTAAAGTACATTTAGAATAGACAATCATCTTCAAGAAACATGTCTCTTTTTTATTATTTATTCACGAATTTAAAAATCATATTAGCTTTTATCATTCAGCAAATAAATTAATTTTGCATACTATACGGCGCATAATTAAAAATACAATTAAAATTTCCCCAGACTATTATATTTACCATAAAACACTAATAAATGTCAAACTTTACTTCGCGAAATAAATATCAACATCACACTACTTGCCGAGAGGCGTACAAAAAAAAAAAAAAAAATTTATGAACCTCCTTCGACTAACGTGAAAACCGGAAATAAAATTCAGATAATTTCGGTTTGAATATCAAACGCTAATGTTTAGCCTCAATTTAATAATTCTTAACGCATGTAGTTTTTATTACATAAAGCTTAATATATATTAATAGTACGGAGTATAAAGATCACGGAGTATTCATACTCCGTAATTTATAGATATATTAGCATTACTGTATCTATGTGCATGTTATTAGTAAAAAAATGGGAATGTTTCTTTGAAATAGCTTAAAAGTTTTTTTAAGTTTTCCTGAAAGAATTTTTAAAAGATCTTCACTTTAAAAATTATTATTTTTGAGTAATAATATTTATTATTTTAAAATTAAATACTTTCGAAAACTAAGCTAAAGAAAGTCTTTTCTCTCATTTCGTCAAATGTGCACTCTTTTATTAAAAAAAAAGATATCCATAATTTTAATGGTAAATATTTTGAGAAAGATTAGCGGATTTAAATTTTTTGTTCTGATTAAAATTCTATTTGAGACTGAGAAATTTGGGGAAATAAACACTACGTAACTAAAAAAACATTAAGGTAAGGAGATTTTATATTGGAATCCCGAATTTTGAATATCTATCTATCTGGCAACACGTCTGCAAATTATCATTAGTCCCGCCTATTTTCGAACGATTTCACCAATAACATTGAGTGGTTGATGCAGTAATGTTTCCGCTATATTTTCTGAAACACGTGGATTGTTTGTAACCGAAGTTAACACGTGTGTTTATTACAGATTTCAGTTTCTCTTTCGATCCTTTTGCAAAGATGTCAGCGATTAACTCGAAAAAAAAATCTTACTCTTTTGTTAATCAAGATAAAAATGATTTTCAACCATCTGAAGCAGTAACACTAAAAAAGGAACTTGGACTTATAGATGGTGTGGGTATAATTATAGGAGTAATTGTCGGATCAGGAATATTTGTCTCACCTAAGGGAGTTCTTATACATGCTGGCTCAGTTGGTTTATCTTTAATTGTATGGTTCCTATGTGGATTTTTATCAATGTGTGGGGCTGCTTGCTATGCTGAATTAGGAACTTCTATCCCAAAATCTGGAGGAGAATTTGCGTATTTAAGTGCTACTTTTGGTCCATTATTGGCTTTTCTGTATCTGTGGGTAGCGCTGCTTATAATCATGCCAACAGGAAATGCCATTATAGCTTTGACATTTGCTGAATATATTCTACAACCTATGTATACAAACTGTCAGGCACCAGATCTCGCAGTGAAATTGTTAGCGGTGGCAGTGATACGTAAGTGTTTTTTCATGGCTATTTCAAACTTGATTTTTTTCTATTTTTCGAAAGTTTGTATATTTTAATCTCTAGATCCCTTTTAAAAAAAGTGCACTGAATGTTTATCTGTGCCAACATTGTTATTATATGATTGGTTAATAAACACTTAGAGTTGTATTTTAATCAAGAATGGAAAAGTAAAACATCTTCCCTAATTGCTTAACCTCTTCGTCGTCCATAAAAGCGTCTAGCGCATTCAAGTGAAACTTCCGCAGAGCAGCCTAACGCGCCTCGAGCGTTCTTCTAAATTTTAAAACTTAACGTTTAAAATGCTTTCCAAATGTTTACTTGTTTGAGTTTTTATTTTATTTTATTTATTTATTTATTTATTTATTTTTTTTTTTGTTCTAATACCTCCTAGAGGATAGCACTAATCTGGTATTCTATTTTTAATTGAATTTACCACAGGTTTTATGAATATTCGCGCCATTTCATATAAGGCACAAGGCAGTGAGAGATGGCTTCAACGTCTACTCAGCAGAAAAAGAGAAAAAATGAGGTTGTGAATTGGAAAGACAAGAAGGATATACGTTTGATGAGTACAGTGCATAATAACTCGATGATTGATGTTGGAACACATCAATCATCCAACTAAGCATACACTATTATGATCTTGCCAAAAATTGCGTTAAAGCAAACATACTGTAAACAACCCTGCAATAAAAATCTGTAGTTACGATTTTAATGATCTTTCAAATTTAAATAGACCCCTTGCTGTATTATATATGTACAATACGTAAAACTTGTTTTATGCATCTCATATTGTTATATTAGTATTTGTGTTCTATTATGAATTTGCAACTTTCCTTTGGGTTAATCTTTGGATTATGGTAACTTGGCGATTTTTTGGTGAAAATTTGGCGACCAACCCTGCTACAGCAACCTGCTAGTTTGTTTGGATGCCATTTTGTTTTCAGGAAGTAAAGACATTTTTTTTTTCTTTACTCAACTTTTTTATCCCAACAATCTGCTAGCCGAATTACGCTTATGCTAGAACTTTTATGGAACAAAAGTGCTTAATCATGACGAAGATAAGGTTCGAAATTGGGAGAAAGTACAGAATCGCAAACTGCTTGCCACATTTTTAAGAATTGCACATACACGGTATCCATGTACACGTCGACCTATTTTCACTTAAAAAAACATCCCAGAATTGCACAAAAATGGCATTGCGCACACTCTTGACTATCTATGACTTGATCTATGTACACTGCTAAAGTCCTAGCTAGTAACCTTTATTGCCTTACCAAAATGTTGCCAAACTACCTGTTACCATATTCCAAAGATTAGCCTTCCTTTGTAATACCAATGACACACTTTGTAAAAGCACCGTTGGGTTTGTACTAACCTTCTTTTACAGGTTATAATCACTAGCTTGAATATTCCCCTAGAGCATTTCAAAAGTCTACTTATCTCTTTTTTGTGTTGCGTGTGTTCAGTTGTGATTCAGGTTTACTTAAATACTTAGAATTTCCTTCTTCACTTAAACCCCACATTATTATCATATATCTATCAATTTATAAATATATATATATATATATAAGTGCCCTCTTAGAATTATATCTTATATATTATGCTATTGTAAATAACCTAAGATTTATATCTCTATTGTTATTGTATCTATAAAATTCGAAATATTATTTATTCCACGAGGGGTAGGATCCCAGTACCCTGGTGTAAGTCACTACTCTATTCATAGTAAAGCATCTTATATGACTCAAAATCCTTAATAACTTGAAAATATTTTACTCTTTTAACATGAAATTTAACTTTTTAAATGGATTTCTGTTGCTCTTTATGGTGCTTCTAATTAATACCATGATTCTTAACTCTGTTTTGTCTTGTTTTTGAGCTACAAGAATGCTTAATGTATATTAGTAAGCCCCAGATTTTCTAATGAATCAAATATGTGAATGCATGGAACTGGCCAGAAAAGGAGAACAAGAGAATAAAAAGTAGAGAATAAATCCAAGTTTAAAACTGTATGTACATTTTGAGACTTGGCAATAAGATTTAAAGAAATTATATAATAAATAGATAATTTTAAATAAAGATTAAATGACAGTAGATCAAGTATTTTACAGTTTTATTTTCTAACATAACTCCAACTTTGTGCAACAATGAGCAGTAAAGTTAATAAAATAAATTGATGTATAAAATTAATAAAAAACTTCACTGTACTCAATGTTTCAGGTAAAAACATTGTTAAACATTGATCAGCTGAGTGCATCCATGCCACACACATTTTTTTTTTTTTCCTCTTTGCTTCTTCTAATATAAGATGAATTATGCTAGTAAAATAACGATTAATAACTAAATTACAGATAATGCCATTTGAGCACACAAGGCAGTGTTGTCATCTTTATTAAGACTTTTCATTGTTGAGACAATGATCATGATTGTTGAGCAGTGTTACTCATACTGCTTATGTTTTAAAGAATACAGTTCCTATGTAGTATTTGAATAGAAGGCTTTCTATTAAGCTTCACAGAAAATTCCTGATTGCAGTCCTAGCAGATATACAACAGGAAAAAAATCTGGAAAACTTTGATTGGTATTAAATAATGAAATACAATGATGTAACGGACTAAAAAATAGTTTGTAATTCTTTCTAACTGAAATTTCTGTTTGCCAATAAAATGAAATAAAAGAATCAGGACTCCCTTGCCATTGTTGAAGGATCATGTTCTTTCAACAATGAATTCCTTTTTCACTTTTGTTCTCAGTTCACTTTTGAACTTGAGACTTGCAATTCTCTTCCGTTTCTCGACATTCTGGGCATACGTAACACATCCAACTTCAGTACTACAGTTTACCGTAAACCTTCATCAATTTGCTTTTCACCATACTTCAAATCATGTCAGACTAAACAAGCATTAGCTACATTTTGTTCCTATGTTTTCCATGCTCTACAAATTTACTACTCCAAACTATGTCTTGATGAAGAACTAAATTATTAAAAAGCAATAGCTATTGACAGGGGCTTTTCACCCAACATTATTAATCAAGAAATTAAAAATGTTCATCTCAATGCACCAAAAGGCACACTCTTGTTTTAGGAGATTATAAAAATTCTGTTGTCATTTCGTTCTTTCCATCACTTAGCTATGAAGTTGTACGTACTTCACAGAAATTAACTTTTGGGTCGTTTATTCTCCCATCAGTAAAATTCCAAACTACATACTCAAGGACCCCATTCCGGATATGAATTCCTGGGATATTTACAGGATTCCTTGCCAATGTGGTTTTGTTTACATTGGTCAAACTAAGAGAGCCTTAAAATTTTGGGAACTACTCTGATATGCGCCCTCAAGTCGCCAAATTTCTCGACAAACATTTTTGGCTGCCATATTTCTATCTAAATTTTTTGTCTGTGTTTTGAACTTTAAGCATAAAATGTCTCCAAAAACGCAGTTTTCTCACATGCAAAAACTACGTTTTGAACGCACGATTTAGGCTAAAAATCCGAAACGTGAGCAAAAAATTTAGATAGCAAAAACGTTAAGTTTCTAACCAAAAATATTTGACAAGAATCCATGTACACAGTGACATGTTTTAACTTTAAAAAACACCTACGAATTGCACAATTTAGGCAAGGAACGAATCTACACTACGCACACCTCGCTACCTCGCTTTAATAAATTAACATAACAATAAATTTCAAAGAATACCATGTACACAGCATCCTGATTAAACTTAAAAAAACATCTACAAATTGCACAATTTAGACAAGGAACGAATCTACGAACTACACACATCTCGCTTTGATAAATTAACATAACAACAATAAATTTCAAAGAATACCATGTACACAGCATCCTGTTTAAACTTAAAAAAAACATCTACGAATTGCACAGTTTAGGCAAGGAACGAATCTACGAACTACGCACACCTTGCTTTAATAAATTAACATAACAACAATAAATTTCAAAGAAAACCATGTACACAGCATCCTGTTTAACCCTGCAATGGAGGGGCCGGTGTACAGAGTACGCCAATGCCATCTTTTGGGCTGTAATTTTTAGACAACTCCTTCCTGAGCTTCCTCCCTTCCTCTACCCTCCTAGAAACATTTCATGAATGCAATGCACCTGGTATTTCTGGTCAGTCTGGTTTTTGCCTTCCTTCCGAAAGCAGTTATTGTGAACATGTCGCATAGGCGAACACAATACGCCGCTCCTCCAAGTATGTACAGAAAGAATATTGTACCTCCTGAAGATTATTTGCGTGTTTTAGAAGAAGTCTTGGTTGATGAAGACTCCGACAATTTAGATAATGCATCTGATGTCGATGAATCGGAAGTCATCGAACATTCTGATCATGAAAGTGACTCAGAAATTAAGGGAAATGTTTCTAAACATCCTCATTTTCCTTCCTCAAATGATGTTTCCCCAACAAATGACGATTTTAGTGATATTGAAAATGACATGAGTGATTTAAAACATGAGGACTTTTTTGTAAAAACAATTATCAAAAAGAAGAAAGTTGGGGGAAAGTTTCTGAAAGAAGAAAAGGAAACTTATAAGTAGAATAAAGTTCCCCTCAAGAGCAAATTCGCCAGAACGCCTCAAAAAAATTTTATGAAAAAAATATGTCCAAGTGCGAAAACTTGTGACGATATTAAATGATGAGCTTTGTGCTTTTCCAGTAAATCATAAATACAAATATGATTGATGCTAATCGTACAATATACAAATATTTATCTCAAATGTAACAGGACTGCAGATGATCTCCAAAAACATCTCAAAGAGAAGCATGTATGATACTAATACAGCAGAAATGTTGGCCTTCTTAGGAATTTTATTCTGTATTAGGGTGCAAAAAAAAAAAAATGTCAAAACTCGAATTTGGAGGAAGCATGGGCAAAAGACGATACTGGAATTGAAATTTTGCAAGGAGTCATGGGTCTCAAGCGATTCAGAAACCTGTGTGCTGCTATTAGATTCGATGATAAAGGCACAAGGTATGTGCGAAGAAAAACTGATAAGCTTGCTGCATTAAGAGAATTTTTTGAATCTTTCAATCAGAACTGTCAAAACTTTTATACACCAGGTGACGAACTCGCAATCGACGAGAAGTTGGAACCCTTTCGCGGGAGGTGCTCTTTTATTCAATTCGTCCCCAACAAGCCCACAAAGTATGATCTGAAAATTTTTGCAGTTGTTGACTCACGAACGTTTTATACATTGAAACTTGAAATTTACTGTGGCAATCAACCCCAGGACCTTACGAGGCTTCTAATTCAAGTATTGACATTGTCAAAAGGCTAATTGGTGCATACGAAGGTTCCAACCGTAACCTGGCGACCGATAATTGGTATACAAGCTACCCGCTAGCTCAATATCTTCTTACCAAAGGTATAACACTTGTGGGCACGCTGAAAAAAAAATAAAAAGGAAATTCCAAATGAATTCCAGCCATCAAAAACCAGAGAAGTCTGCAGTTCACTCACTGTTTGGTTTTTAAAAGGATATGACAATTGTTTCATATGCAATGGAAAAAATAATTGTGTAATACTGCTCAGTACTTTACACGATGATGACAAAATTGACCAGGAAACGAATAAACCTGAAATAATCCTCGATTATAACAAATGTAAAGGTGGAGTTGATACCGTAGACCAACTTTGTAGTAATTTCACTGTCGGTCGAAAAACCAAGAGGTGGACAATGGCAATATTTTTTG